AAAGAAATAAAGATCACAATCAAACAGTAGACAACATTCTTGAGTTTGTTGACTTACGTTTATTAACAATGTAGAAATATAAATTGTAGCAATAAAAGTAGAAGTACTTATATTTTCCGGGAATGATAAAAAAAAAAAAAACGGCGCATGCGTATTTTGGGCGCCTGTATTTTTTCTAAGTTTTTTGGCGGGAAAATTGAAAATTTTAAACAGACCTTACTAACGGAAACGTTTTCCATCAAAATAAAATGTACAGGCGACGGAGAAAATTTGAATTAGAATTGGTTGTTCTAAACATGTTTGTTTATGGACATCGAAAATAAATTGCTTAAAAAAAGGTTTAAAAACATTTTGACCGAAAATCAATCCCTAAAAAAATTTATCTTCTACCTCTTCTTTAAACTTTTCTTTCGACTTGATAGCTCTTTATCAAGCCTCTTGTGTTTTTGTTTTGTGCTTGACTTTGAGTTCAATTGTCGGTCATCTGTCTGTCATCAACTGTCTGCAAGAGCATGGAAAACACAAATTAACAAATGCATTTACCACAACAAGCTTTATATTTAATCAATTCATAAAAGATAAACCATTTTAACTTTAGCAAACTAGTTATCACCTGCGAGATTTAACAATAGCGGGCAAATTCTCCCGCATCTTGCCAACAATAAAATATAAAATTGCCATCCATTTCATGCAGCATTGACTAGCCTTTCTACTAGACGATAAAAGGGAACCTTCACATACAGATTGCTGTAAGCCCGGCTGAATTTAATGTTTTTTCTAGAAAGCTTTGGAAATTTCTTTGCATTTCACAAAAAGAAATGCACCATCCTTTCAAGAATTCCGGCGCCTAATTATCATAATAGTAGGCAGCAACTAGGTGTTGTTCGTTCGTATATTTGCTGTTTTCTGCGCTTTGAGGTTGAAAAAACGGAAGCATTCAAATAATTGTCATGTTCCTTGCCACTGTAGCCTCATGGGTTATAAAGTGATCTTAGGATTCGTGTTCAGTCGACTCTTCGTGCAAAAACAACCAAGATGCAAATTATGTAGTGTCAGGAGCCTAGTGCAGAATTTATAGAGAGTTCCAGAATTTTAAAAAATCTATGAAGCTATAGCCTTAAATATTTTTTATCAAAAATTGCATGGAAACCTGTTTGAACGTTAAAAATTGATTACTGGGAACAGGCGCCCGCAAAAAACAAGAAAAGCATTATATCTTTAAAATAGGCTGCTTTGTTTTGCCTCCTAATTTAAAGTAAATTAACACGATGATTTGAAAAGGATTTTTATGTCAATCCGTGTGAATTTGGACATGTGCGACTCAAAAATCTATTTGCATGAATCAAAGATGACACAAAAAATGACAAGCTTTGTTATATTGAGAGCCTAACCCACGAGATAAAAAATCGTAACAAAAATTCCTAATTAAAAAAATATTGACAAGGTGGAAACTGGCGTATAATGTAACAAAAATAGCCGGGAAAATATTTTGCTTTTCTGACAGTAATTCTCCGTATTCTCAAGTTAGACTCTTTCTTAACGTTGGGTATCATACAGTCTAAATTGGAAAACTAATATATTACTTTTGCTTTGACGAAGAACATTTTAAATATTAGAAAGGTTTGCAGATCTTAACGGCAAAGGCAAACTGCCATGGTGATGAAAGAGCTAATAAAACAGGTCTCCGTCACATTCTTGTTTTTTCTTTTATTACAGATATTTTTGCCTTTTTCAGTTTAAGTGGCAGATCTTAAAGTTACATCGTTCCCAAGATTTCACGGCTCAGATAGTGATCTGCATGTTCTGTTACCCATTGTAGTAAGATAATAGTAAAATTAGATATTTATAGGTGCAAGCAACTCACCTCGCCACAAAAAGTTATCTTTTATCCTCTCCCTTGTGGTTCTTTTCGTCTTTATCTTCCATTACTGTATGATTTTTTCCTTTGTTCATTCTTGCCTGTGGCCAAAGTCTGTATATTGAAAGAGGAACGATAATTGAATATGTTGGAAATACAAGGACTTACATCAATTCAATTAAAACTCTTTACAGGTAAATATATAATTTCCAACTGGAATTAAGAGGGATCAGGGTTGGTTAAAAACACCAATTCTTTGATTGACTGATATCCCCAGAAGTCTCAGTCAATTTCCTTGAGACGGTTCTCGAAAAAATGCAGGCTCTTGGCACTCAAATTTTAGCTTCTTTGTGCTTGTAATGCATAAGTAAAATTAAGACTCTAGGTTTGTAATATTATTTACTATCAATCTGCATGTCAAGACATCTTTGTGCAAACATTTGCAAACATCTCTGCAACGAGATCAGAGTCATCTAAATCTTCAAATGATAATCGAGCAACCTAATGGCAAGAGCTTTGGAATAACGATGCTAACTTGAAACAAGCACCAAGCTTTAACACAAGTCAGTCGATCAGTCAGTCAATCGGTCAGGCAGTCAGTTAGTCAAGCAGGCAGGCAGGCAGGCAGGCAGTCAGGCAGGCAGGCAGTCAGGCAGGCAGGCAGTCAGTCAGTCATTCAATCAGTCAGTTAGTCAGTTAGTCAGTCAGACAGACAGGCAGGCAGGTAGGCAGTCAGTCAATTAGGCAGTCAGAAAGTCAGTCAGTCAGTCAGGTAGTCAGTTAATCAGTTAGTCAGTCAGACAGGCAGGCAGGCAGGCAGGCAAGCAGTCAATCAGTCAGTTGGTCAGGCAATCAGGCAGTCAGACAGTCAGTCAGTCAGGGAATCGGTCAATCAGTGAATCAGTCAGTTAGTCGGTGAATCAGTGAATCCGTCAGTCAGCTGGGCAGTCAGTCGGTCCGTCAGTGAATCAGTCAGTCAGCTGGGCAGTCAGTCGGTCCGCCAGTGAATCAGTGAATCAGTCGGTCAGTCAGTTAGTAAATCAGTTCATTAGTCAATCAGTCGGTCAGTCGGTCAGTCAGTCATTCACTATCTCTGTCATTACCCTTAACAATCACACAAAATCGTAAAAGACGGCATTTACCAACTTCGACGACTAACATGCCAAACCTCAGTTTTAAGAGACTACGAAGTACAATGGCTTTAAGTTTAAGTATGTAGAGGAGTGACTAAGGCCTCATTCTCGAAGAAATAATTTTAGAAGTTCGTATAAATTGTACCTTAGCAAGCAGCCTTGTGCATATAATTAACGCCGTTGAATTCGATAAATTCTGGATTCTAAGTTTGAAATCATCTTTTGCGCACCAGAAAACAAATAAGCAGAGACAATTGATATCTAATGATTACCTAAAATAGCATTTCAGCAAATGTTTGGGTGATTATAAGTTACCTCTCAACAAGAAGTTCAACTTCCAACAAGATCACTTTTCGGTGTTCGACGGACTTGCCCTTCTATTTGACTGTTTTCACATTTCTCTTAGGCTTTGAGTTTGTCCAAGGCGAAGAACACGTACGGCTTAGGTACCAAGGACGAGTTTGGACCCAAGCGTGTTGTCGGCGGTTTATTTCTTCGTGTCCAAAAACAAAGTTTGGATTTACCATTAATCGCCATTTTCTTCCTCGTGCGAAGGTACACGTGAAGTGAAATAATTGAATATTCATGTCTAAAGGTGCGTGCGTGCGAGTTATGAATAATAAAACACTTTGCCTTATCAAAGTCCAGTGCTTTTCTCGGTCAAAATGGGGAAAATAGAGAATAATCCGCTGATTTATGATGTTAATTCGACCAAGCAAAGAACATCAAACACGAAGCTTACTACAAACGTAAATATTTTTTAGATCTCCATCTGTCCGCGTACGTCATGACCAAACAGGATTATCAATGACTGAACAGAGAATTCGCGTAAGGGAAGAAGGCTCGAGGAATGGGACCGAAATAATGCGGAGGGACCTCCTTATATAACACGGGCCTAACAAATAGTCTGATAACAGAAATGATGGATGAAATGTCTCATTCTACAAACCATTTTTCCTTCAGTTCTCCTCCTCTAACTCCCTCCCGCCACCGCGTCAGCCCAATAGTTTCCGCCTGCAATGTATTTTTTAAATCAAGAAGATTAGTGGAAAGGAGGGGGCGTGGAACCCAACGAATTGAGGAATCTTACCAAATATCGAAAGAACTCTATTTTTCCATTTATCTTGTTTGCATTAAATGTTAATGCTCTATCTGAGGGTGGTAGGTTTCCAGTAAGTCTACTTTTGTCTCATATAGAACTGGAAATTGACTTATGGAGTAGGACGACTTCATATGTGAGTAGCAGCTTCACGAAAAGGAAATTTTCGTCTGGCGAAGAAATGAGACCAGGAAACAACCGCAAGGATTTTAGAAAAAGATATGTTCGTGGCTCTGTGGATACACCTGCTCAAACAAACTTTCATTGTACTCAGCCGTTTGTGTCGAGGAAAATCATACTCTCTACAAGAGGAAATTATTTATTCAAAATGTTTACAACTGAAACAAACGTTTTTTTTTTTTAATATCAAAATTGTTTACAACAGCTTTAACTTCCAACACACTGTACCATTCCATTTCTTTAAGATTACAGTCAGTTTAGAATTTGTAATTTCCATGCTACTGTAAACAACTTTCTTCTTTCATGTCAATGACATCAAATTGACGTCATTTTCCTTTAACATTAACGTCAAAATAACGTCACATAAGCCTTTCCATTTACTATTCCTCTGTTTCTGCCATGATCGAATTTGAAACGTCCTGCAGTTCATCAACCAGAGCAAACCTGCTAAATTTCAGCCAATTAGGAGCACGCCAATATCACGCGAGTGACCATGCTACGATTGGTTAATTGTTGTATCTTCTCATTTGAGATGTGGACAAAGTTTCTTTAACCAATCACAGACCAGACAATTCCGCATGGCTTTTGAAACTCAGTAAAAGTATTGCTATAATAGGTTAGATTTCACCTAAAACATTAAGAGTGTATAGGAAATCTTTTGAAATTCTGTCGACAAAAATACTTGCTTAATAAGTTTATCTTGTTCAATTATTTCAACCGACATTTTTCACCTTAATTTACAATTAAAATAACTTAATATATTTGGTGTTTGATAAATAATCCTACTCGATATTAGAGCTCCTCCGTATTTAGAACTGAGACTTTTTTTACTTACGCCTAAGACTACTGATCGAATACATACGTCATATAAAAATGCGAATATCTGTTCAGGACATAGTATAGCTGATACCTTTTTTGTTGCTCGTATATAGGATATATAATAACCGCTTAGAATAGTACAATCTTTTGATCCATTTCCTGAAAGTTGACTGAATCATAATTTAAAGTAGAAATTTAGCATATGCGTCAAAAAGGTTGGTTGACAAACCTGAACAATCTATTTCAAAAGACCTTTCATGAAAAAGTAGTAAGAATTATCAACAAAATTTCATCATTACGAACAGTTTGTCTTTATCAGCTTGGTCCCTCTCACAGAAGCGCAATGAAAAGTTAGCTTACAGAAATAGAACTAACTTCCGCTAAGCGCCTTCTGACTAGTTCGAAGGACAAAGCTAAGCAAGATGAACTGGTCATGATCTAGCAGCTAAGAATTCCGTCTCATGACTTCCTTTACTAACGGAGACGAACAAAAAGGTCTTAATAAACATTCATTTTCACGGAAATCAAGTGTAAAAATCGAATAAAGATATCGAGTAGAATTTCAACATTACGAAAATAAAACAGATAAAACCATTTTGAAAGAACTAAAACTTTAACAATAAAAACATCTGTAAACTAAATTTTTTCTTTGATTAAAATATCTATGAACTAACCTGTGCAAACATTTGCAACGTTTTCTCCTATAATTTCGAATGTAAATCAAGTCAAATAATAGAGAATGTTTCTCGTCCATTGTTTAAACCTGCAACTCCTTGGAGCTAGGATAACTATTCTAATACGGCGAACACACTAGTGCGCCCAGTTCTTCGTTCCTTCATATAATTGTTACGCGTTTACTTTAACTGTACATGCTCTTGTGAGTACATCATCAGATCGAGGTCAACTTTTGAAGTGCATGGTGGGATATCAAATAAGTCTGTCCTCATGCCCTAACGCGGGCGCAACTTCGACGTTTTTATTCGGATCCAGTCTACGCATAAGCTGTGGATCTTCCGGGAGCTGGAGAGAGCAAAACTTTAAGAACCACAGAAAGATACCGACTTGACTCATGACATCGAGTGTTCCTTTAGCGAGATCTGTTGGATCCGTGTCGGCCGAGGAAGGCCGAAGAACGTTCGGGCCAAAAACGGTTGCCAGGTTATTTTGTCCCATTTTGTTCTGTTCCTGATGCTCACTCATTCTATAAGCAACATATTTTAGCCATAAAGTACTCACTAGAGTAACAAAACAAACGCGATCCGCATGTGAATGACTACACTGTTAAGAGAGCTATGCCAAAACATTGCTAGTTTTTTTTTTTTCTTTTAACCCCACAAAATGACCTTGAAAAAGACCACTACATATCAGTTGGGTACGACAGTAATACAGGAAAGAGCACGGATAGTTGAATGAAGAAGACTGAAAAGCATCGCAAACAACAAACAGAGGGTGGCTCTGAGCCAATCAATACTTCCGAATGGCCTTTTAACGGTTTCAACACAAAGCTCGACTTAGAATACACTGTGTGACTAATCATCTCTCAATCTTATTATGCACAGCTACAAATACGGCTTGCATTTCTCCAATGTCTCTTCCTATCGTTATATTTTCCTATGAGTGTGTAAACCCCACACATTACCTTCTTAGATGATCTAGTAAATAGATAATAGTGAGCCGGTTTGGTTTGGGTAAAGATTCAAACAACTCCATCATTTTTTTCTTTTTTTCCTCGGGATCTTTAATTCCTAAAATCAAAAACAAGTATCTCGATGTCAGAAAAAAAAATCGAGAAAAATAATTAACTGTGTACAACAAGAAAAATATACAGATTATGTGTACATATATATCTACAAAACACCACATCCACTTGCTTCAGTGTGTAGCAAAGCAATCAATAATGGGCCCTGGAGTGGTTCGTACCGTCACACCAACCACAGAGGAGGGGGACATGGGAAAGAGTTTCCCTGGATGCAAACGATAGAGCAGAATTCTTTCTTTCAGCACCTTACTTTGTGTCCTTTGCATGAAGGTATACGACAGGAGAGGTGCCACTGCTGACCAGAGTGACTGTTTTGATAAGATCGCTTTTCTTCGTTGTATGTTGAGCCGTAATAATATAACACGTGTAGCAGGGCTGACGACTAACCAGCAATAATCTTACCCCATAACCCATTGAACCCACATTTGAAATTCCGAGGAAGTGGTATTTTTTTCCATGCAGTACGTTATAGGGGCAAACTTATTGTACTAATAAGGAATTGAAAAGTGGTTTACCGTTTGCTTCAACAAACTTGATATAAAGGTCGTCGGTAAAGAGTGGCTCTGGAAGGTCCCTGAGGTACATCTTCAGAAGTCCAGCCACAGCATGGATGTCCGCCTCAGCAACTTGCACTAAAGCACTTTGACTGTCTAAAAGAGATTAATCAAAAAGGAAATCAGTCGGCTATGGACAAACTAGGAACGGCGGCGAAAGTAGCTTTCAGGAGGATTCATTGTGGATTTGACACTAGCATTGATGGCAGACAGCAAAACGATCAAAATCCTGATTTCAAGGAACTTTGCTTCTCTGTTCTAACTCATTTTTGGTATCATGCAAAAGTTACTCCATCTTAAAGGAGGCTACAATATATTAGTTCCGTAACTAAGAAACGAAATAGAGCAAATAATGGAGCAAGACGAAACAAGGATGGATGAGGATGGAAACGATTAGAACGGGTCGAAAATAAGGAATGAGCCACTTTAGCATCTCTCCAGAGCTTGGGGTCAAATCTATGTATAAAGCTCAGCCTTACGGCCTCATTGATAGCCATACCGTTTACCTCGTCTTGTATGCAATGCACTTACTGTTGTCAAACGCGTCTTTTAGCCTTCGGACATCTGAAGTTGCTCCTGATAAGCGATAAATTCCTACTTCTTCCATTCCTGAAACAAGACGAGATGCAACGGTAACTTGAACAATGGATTTTAAAGATATTAGCAGTCAATCCAGTTCTTAGCTGTATTGCACACTCATTGAAGGTTTGCTAACGTGAAACGAAACAAAACAAAAGATAGAGCTGACGCATTTGTTGGACAAACTTTAGGACTCGCAATCGCAAAACTATTCTGGAATAAAAATTGACGCGATTTCACTCTACCCACCTCTTTTCTCAATTTCCTGTACACAGCCAATCACAACTAAGGGAATATCACTTTCTTCTCGTCTGTAAGAGAAACATATACCAAAGGTAAATCATAAAACCAAGCGAAAGTTGAACATTGTCAATCAACAACAAACAAACGAAGACATTTAACTCACTTTGAAACTGTAGCAATATCAACTCCAAAAACACCTTTCTCGCTGTAAGATTTCTTCCGTTGAATCCCATGAGGTGTCTTGGAATACTGTAGTGATAGCGTTACCGCACCCTGCAGGTCAAACACAATACGTTACTATGGCTGTGCTTTAAATTGGTTATTTTATTTCAGCTAAAATCCAGAGTATTGAATGTTTCTTTCAGCCAAAGACAGCAATGATCACAGGGCATTCTTGATAAAAATCTATATACGGTGCGTGACAACTGAACTTACGTGACCAGCAATTGATCAGTAAAGCTGAAACGTAGTGATGGGGTAACATCACCTACTTCATTACTGTACACAGAGATAAATAAATTATTTATTCCTTACCTGCTTGTCTAAGGTTATTGTGATGGTCTGTTTCTTCAGATCCCTCAAATTTTCCTTTACAAGCTTTAGCAATAAAAAAGATAAGAATTGTTAGCAAGCCACACGTTTTAGTTCAAGTTCAGAAGTTATTTAAACGAAAACGCACAACCCCACAGGCGTGATTGTTTATTTCCTGTTTTTGCCCATAGCCCTCGCCTTGCACTAATTTCCGCGCGCGAGAAGCATACACAACACCTCACCTCTATTTTTCCCTGCGCACAGTGTTCATCAAAATTAAGTCTGCTTTTGCTATAAACATGCAGCTTGAGTTCTCTTGTTCCTTCCACCTCGACATCGAAGTCCTATAGAACAAATAAAGGTGTTAGCACTGACCGAGGAACGCGTTTTACAACCCTAATGATAAAGGATGGAGTCAAACCATTCTGGCGGCGATTTTAAATTTTTGCCCGGCGAGTCCCATAAGATGACTCTTGGAAGGCTTTAAAACTGAAAGTCTGCACAAGACATTGTTTCAGCAGCACAGAGTAAACCTGTCGTTTCTTTCATCGTTTGAGAAAGAACAGAGAGCACCACTAACCCAACCCCTTCCCGCTAAGTATGCTAGTCGATCGCATTTGTCCGAGACAGTCACATCATATTCTCGTAAGGCAAGTAAAAGGGGATGCAAGGCGGCCAGTCGGAGTGATTGGAAGTCAAGTTTTCCTCCTCTTACCTGGTCCCATACAGGGTCAGTTGAAGCTTTACACGTTTTTGTCCTGGCTTTACGAACAAACTGTCCATAATGATCAACTTCTACCACGCAACTGAGATCTGAATAATAACACATGGAGAATTTAGGAAAAACTGAAGGGAAACATGGATGTGAAACCACATCCAGCTGAAAAAAAAATCATATTTGTTCGAATAGTGAAATGCTTTTGTGGGGATGGGTACACCATCCTATTGAACACACTGTAATTTCCAACTGAACGTCATAAACTGTCTGGGATTGCAAAAGTATAGAAAACTCACGCCTTCTACTTAACTAACAAGGTGTAAACATAATATGACAGGCCGCTAACTTGGTGGGGTATTCCTGCGCTGTAAGCAGTTTGATTGCCCTAACTCATCGACTCTCGTTAACGAATTTTATATATCAACATATTGAGAATACATATTTCTCTTGTAAATTCCCTTGTTCTCAATTGCCTTTCAGTTGTATTGATTTTTATTAATCTGCTTTTGGTTTGATTCTTAGGAAATGCGGTCATGTTCTGGCAAATGGCAGCAACGCATTACAAAAAAGGCGAAGATTCATATCCGAGCTTTACATGAAGTCACCTATAGGGTTGTCTATCTTCTCCCCTTATTACTTAGTTAATAGACTTTGTAGAGACAGTCTGAGAGCCGTGACGTATGTTCAATCCACCAGTCTGTTCTCACAAACTGTTAGGATTTGCAATATGTAGGTCTAAATTGGTCAGAACGTTTTTCTAGACTACCAAAAATAAATTGCTTTTAATCAAAGAGTCAATTTCCTGTTAATTACTTTTTCCTGAGCCTTCATAAATCTCGTTCCACCTGCATAACCCAATCACGGCAAAGTTGTTGTGAAGTGCTGCTACACTAGCCAATCACAAGCGTACACGAGTTCGCTTACGTGCTTCTTCTGTGCTCAGGGTCAGTTACGTGCGTCTATTAAGTTTTGGTGGGCGTTTAATTCATATTTAATCTATTTTAATGTAAGCTCTTCGGAAGTCTGGATTATAACACCAAAATTTCTGATGATCTCTGTTTTCATTTACCGTTTTTGTGAAATCCGCGTCCAGAGTGTATATGAACGTATAACAGTCCATTGAGGAGACTTTTGTCTGCAACATAACGAGCAAAATATGCAGTGAGCGAGAAATATCCCTCCAGGCTTATATCAGCAAAATATTTTCAGCGTTACCTTTACGTTCCAAGATCACCCTTCTCGATACAGAAGGAAAAAAATTATTGCGCTTATTTACCTTAGCTTTATAAACAATTATCTGTGAATTTTAAGTTCAACACGGTGTGAAGTAATTAGAGTAATTACGCGAGGTGTTTCAAGAAATTTCCAAACCTAACCCAGACAGAGTAATAAAAATTGTTTAGAGTTGATGTTAGCGAAAGCTTATTGGAGGGCTTTGGCCTGTGAGAGGAGTATTCCCTTTTCTTCTTCATTTCTTTACTTTTAAGCGAAAAGCACATTTTATTTCAATGAAAGAGAAACATTGATTTAACTTTAATTACGCTATCATTATGTAATCCTAAAAGGAAATGAAGGATGGACTTAGAAAATCGCGTTCAGTACCTTCCTTCATGGATACTTTTCCTAATGACCTCTGAGTTCTCAGCTGAAAGAGAGACGAAATATCAGTTAGCACGATATTTTCAAAAGGGAAATCTTTACACAATTGATCTGTGGACAAGACAGGATAATACTGGGTGTTAATTGCCAGTTTGAGTCCTTTCCAACGGTAAACCCAGGAGTTTTCCTTGCGGCTTCCTGTTTCGTGCTGTCTTTTTTATTATTTATAAATGTCTGTTCCAATTTTAGTTTGTCAGGGTCACTTAAAATAACGGGAGAGTGCTCAAAGGTAAAAAAAATCTGGCGATTAAATATCCGTCAATTAGACTGGCGGATACGGAAAGATCGGGGTTAGGTGTTAATTTTATTACGAAAAAGGTCTGCCTGGTTTGGACTTGACATGACTAAATGATCCTTTGAAAGTGTGCCAAAATCTCGCAAAAGTGATTTATCACAGATCTTGTAAATCTTATTACAACAACTTGTCACACAGACATTCCGGGCTGGGTGGACTAAGCGATATTTACTTAATCAAAGTTCGGTTTGTGACAAAAAGCTTCCTTTGCACAGCATGAGGCTGAACGAAAACACCTCGTCACAATGATGTATTTGTGATATTTTTTGAAAAAGGAAACAGCGTTGTAATTCGTATCGCAATGACAAAAGATGTTTAATGTATAGTGTTTGTTTAAACGCGATGAAAATGTCAAAAATGTACGAGATTGAGTGGATTACAAACTGATAACATACTGCTCAAGCGAGATTTGAAAAACTAATTCTTTCCGATTGATTTCCACACAGGAAAATCTGAACTGGGCATGGATATATGAAAGAAACAACCTGAGGCGCTCTCAAAAATACAAGGAAGAACATATGAAATAACGCGAAAATTTCAAGAGCAATTCTCATCGTAGTCTACCGGCGATTGCAACATCTCTTGTACAAACAATGCCAAGTGTTATAAGCTTCCATACTTTAGTGAATTTTTCCAGTTCTTTCTAACGTAAATTTAGCGAGTTCAGTATTTACAAGCTTATAATCACAATCTTCCTAAAGTCAGTACCATGATGTTACTTACCAAGGAGTGCGAGTCTTTTAAAAAACTAGAGTCTGAGCCTCTTCGAAGGAGTCGTATGTTTGGCGACCAAGAGCCGCGACGAAGAAGAGGCGATTTCGGCTTTTCACCAAATTCGGCATGAGTTTCCGATCCTCTCCGAGCAAGCCTCGGAGAGAGAGTGAACTTAACTTTTGTCGCCATGATCATGAAGGGCAGACGAACGAAACAGGGAGCGACGCGAGCTTAAGATTGGTTCAGTAGTTCAGCGTAACTATTACCGAGTCGAGGAAGGCTTGAATAAATAGATGGGCTGAAGTGTAATTAATCTGTCACATTAATCCCTGCTGTATACCGCTCACATACGTTACCCGCGGTATACAAAACCACTCGACCAATCAGAGAGGATGTTTACCAAAACACCAATAATGATAGCAGTTTCCTAACTCCGGGTTTTTCGTAGAGAGCGTGAACGAGCTGTCATTTAGAATTTTATGACCTTTGAATTTTGCAATATGAAGGAGAGAATTCCACAAACAAATGAACCGACCAACCTTCTTACAAGCCTCTAGGAAGTGATGAAGCTCCAACGCACTAAGCTGTACTTCAGCACTTGGATTATCTAAGGTAAAAAACAAAGCTTGTAATTAGAAAGCCATGATGGCTGACTGTGACGTTTTTCAAGAGAGATGACACTGGTAGAAAAGGCGCTGTTTCGGTATCTGTCAAAAGATAACGAAAACGTTGAAACGATGAAAGCTAGACAATTTATTTCAAATATGCAAATCGATTTTAAAATGCTTTGAAACATGTCAATATTGACGCGTTAATCAAATTTAGGCATTGTTCGAGTCGTCCTTTATTAATAGAAAGAAGCGATAATGGTTCTGATATCAATTCAATAGCTTTTTTTTTTTTACCTTGAATTTGTTCCAAAAGAGGAATGATGGCTTCCTTCCATTCTGCTCTTTCGACATCAGTTTTACAGAGTAATGTGTATGTCTGTGAAGTTAAAAAAAGTTTGTCCATGATTGCCGAAAACTTATAATTTTTTCTCTGTAGAAGTAATGTATTTTGTGTGCAAAAAAACTACTATTAAAATTGAAATCGGGAAACTACTTCTCCTCCCTTTTAAGAATGCATGCGAACAATACCAAAAAGAACCAGGATATTTAAAAGTAACCTAGTTCTCTTTGTTATCTTCCTTGTGCATTACAAGAAAATTGAATTGTCAGAGCACGTTTATAGTTAGTTGGTCTATTATAAGCATATACAACTAACCTTGCCCTGTTTGTGGTAGAGTGTAACCGGGAGACTGGGAATGGCTAACAAAAGAGCTGCTTCCTGTTCAGCTAGCCGCCTTTTCAGTTTCTCGACAATTTTGGAGGCTGATTGCGCTCGACGTCGCTGCAAAGGAAAAAAACAGTAAAAATGAGAGAGAGTAAGCAAAGGAAAGAACAGTCAATTCACCTCCCCAAAACCTAATAACAAACCAAGTTTCAAAAATCGATGCAACTCGCTCGAACAAACACTTTTCTTTTCACAATAGCGCTCGTTGAAAACATGCTCTTGCTTTGTCACTTTAATCAGAAAGCCTTTGAATTCACCAAGCCAGAGGGAAATTTCAACAATAAACGATATCTTATACCTTCATTGAAGGTGAGGAATCAGGACTGTTGAGTCCGCTCACTCCTTCTTCTCGTCGGATTTCTGCTTTGGTGCTTGCAATCCTGCTTTTCAGTAAATCAAAGTCACCTTTGCTTGTCACTGGTATAACTTGTGGCGCTAATAAATAAATAAACAAATAAGTAAAAAAAAGGAGAGACTTTCACATGTTAGTAATAACTGATACGGTCGAAGTTCGTTCGTTAAGAAGCCTTCATGTAATTTGCTTGTTTAATACAAACTTGAATTTATTCGTTAGAATGGTTTTTATTTCCCTCCTCCCTTTTACTTACCACCGCGCATTTTCTAGTTTTCCTGTTTTGAAAGTTTTGTTAGAATACATATCAAAGCTCATCTCTCATATTTGAACTTGCAATGAAAATGTTTCAAATCAAACCTACACACTCCGTCAAAGCAAGTTATAGCTTTCAAGAGGTAACCGTGCTCAGTCGGACTACCCTGCGTAGGAGGAGCACGTTTTGACTGAATTAGCATCGAACGCATGAGCAGGAAGTCGCGCACTAAGGCCTGTAAATTGCGTTCTAGCCTAACACCAACTGTACAAGCTATGCATACACAAACCTTCTGAGTTCTCTGTGGGCTGGAACTGTAAATCGCGCAGGGAGAGATACCATTTACACACGTATTGCTCGCCCCTGTAAACATTTAGAAGAGACACCTCATCAAAAAAACAATCAAGTATATGGCGATGAATGGGTGTATGGCTCAAGAAAAGAGGTAAAATGTTTTTCAGGTGGATGGGAGTTGCCAAAAGACTAATTGAATTTTTTAGGTTGAAGTAAAGATACGATGGATCTCAGCATTACATCAGTTTATATGTATTAATAACGACAGGCAACAATAACAGCGAGAAGAGTTTCATGTCAAAGTTATTGAAACCTTAAACATGTGAGGCCTGAATCACTATAACCTACACCAAAATCAATTGCCATAACATACCTAGCTGTTATCTTTCTCTTTGTACATATGATGTAGTCATTGAACAAGAAAAGATGTCTAAATTTGCGAACTCCATCTGAAAAAAAAGAAAAAAGTCATTGTTACATTGTCTCACCATTAGGGATTTGAAGTAAAAATGTCATCACACAACATTTATTTTTTATCCCTTTTACTCCTACTATTGCTAACTTGTAACTTCTCCTTAACCTTTCGATACATTCACTAGCAAACAGGTGTGGAGAATATACACAGTGATCAGCTACAGACTGTTATCTTTTTAGGGTAAGGAGATTTAAAGAGAAAATACCTGAGAGTTCTACTATAAATCCATCTTTGATTAGTCTATGATCTCGCTTCACTCTTTGCAATCCCTATGGAAGTTCAAAAGTTAAGTTCTGATTAAAATCAAACAGGACAACACCAGTACTTATAACAATGCCAATACCTTTGTACCCTATGACACTTTTCTCACAAATTAAAATGGAAACAATCCCAGGCAAGCCGAGAACACGAGCTTCTCCTGATCCCTTGCAAAAGGGATTGAAAAGAAAATAATTAACATGTCTCTTTATCTGGAACAAGGGGGGTAAGTTTCTAAAGAATCTGTGGTGCTGCGTCGGTGGAAGAGTATAAACAGGGTAATTTCTCCCAATCGCTCTGACGAAGGGCTAACGCTCGAAACGTCAACCTTTAAACTCTTTACGGTGATCAATTTACGTTATCAACTCAGTCGATAATACCAAATTACCCTCTTTATCTGGAACGTTTTCAAGTGCCCTTCATTGAGTTGTTGGTATCTTTACTATTTCTTCACAAACTATGCAAGAAACAGACTCAATAAATTCCCGGATGTTATCGAGCTTCTTGTTCCGAGAAGTGTAGGGGGGGGAGAGAGAGGGGCAAAAGTTTTCAGTCTACCTACCCCTCCGTCTCTTTCATCACCATTGATCTTTGCTAGGAAGTCTTTGGTTTGGTTCAACACATTTGTTAAAAGTTCAAAATCCGCATGCTCCTCAGGAGTTTCTCTGATCAAGTCCTAAGTAAAAGCATGTTATCATCAGAAACATTAAGCTATACCTCATTTGATAACAATATGGCAAAACCTATATGAAGAAGATCCTGTATTGACCAGTCACTGTGCATTAGAAAGCAGAAAGCCTGAGTAAGTCACAACTTACCCTTAGGACAGCAATATAGCGGCCAACTCGTTCCACTGGTTTGTTGAAAAGAGCTGACGAAAAAAAAAGTAATAATAACAAATTAAAAAGGTCTTTTAGATCTCTTAAATTTTGATCTTAACCACACCTCTAGAGATGACCAGCAAGGGTTTTTCCAAAACACTTTTCAGCAACCACGTGAGGAGAATAAGCAAACTCGTTGGCTTAAGTATTCTCTTTGTTAACACACCAAATTCTCTAAGATTATGTACAACGAAATATACAGAATGTGCCACCTACAACAGAAAATTGGGGGCTTCTACAGAACATGCCTATGATGTATTTGCACACTAATTTCAGGTATCTTACTAATAAAACATACCTTCTAATGTTGTCACTTCTTGAATGGATTGAACTCTAAGTTCCTGATTAGCAGAAACATAGAAAAGACAACATCTGTTAATTGTCCTCAATGTCTGAGCTTATCCACTTTCTGCCTTGTGATCAAAAAATGAACTTTACAAATTCTTTCTATACCCTCCCTTGACAGAGAAAAATAATCAATCAATGAAATACCTGCCTTTAGTAAATAACATGAGCCACAATAAAACATACCTTAGAAAAGATGTTGTTGAATTGTTCATTGCTTGCCTTGCATTTACGTACTGTCGACATTGCAGTATTGTAGTTTGATATGTATTCTTTGTACACATCAAACTGATCCACCTGTAAGCAAAGGGAAAACAAAAAGGAAAGAAAAACATAAACAAAACTATGATGAAGATGGTTCTGTTTGCCAACACCTTGTTACATGGGTAGCAACTGAAATTTTTTTTAACTCACTGACAAAAAATACAATTACTGTTTAATATCTCTTTAATAGATAACCAATGACTAAAAAGTTGAATCCTGAGCCACAAATTTAACAATGCAACACAGAGTTTTCAATCAGGAGAAATGAGTTATACATAATGAGAAACAACTCTAACCACTGAAATTCAGCCATGTAATTCTGCATTTTAGTCAGAGAGATGGCTAAATGGCCTCTATTCCTGTGAGGAACTCACATGACTAAGCTGTTGATATTTAATACTACAATCTCTTTTAACACTTTAACTCCCAGATCAAATTTGTAACAGAAATTCTGTCTTGGTCACTCACGAGAGTTAAAGGATTAATCGCAAGTATGTTTGGTTTAAATGAGTGAACACTAAAGATAAATAAACTGATTTTTCTTTGACAGTGAAATAAAACAATTTAGCAGGAAATTGCATAAATTTGTAAAAAAGATACAGCTCTAAAAATTCCATTAAAAAACCGCAACGTCATATTTCCTTTTGTGAATAAATTCCCAGACTATTCCACTAAAAATACCGCTTACCAAACTCAAAAATAAATCTCCTATAAGGTGACGGTCGCTCCAGTGTGACACACGTGTCTCAAGTTCATTATAAAATGCACTGTGCATAGTGTGCATTTCATCAAGTTTGTGGAAAATCTTGTTGTAGTCAACTGAGGTCAAGATTGGATGTGATGATTCAATGGAAAACTTTAGAGGCTTCATGTGCTGAAAATAACAATTGGAAGAAAAGAAACATTTAAACACACATGTTATGCATTGACAAAGCACAAATTATTTAAGAACTTAATTTACAGATGGTTCCATTTAAGAGCTATAACTCAGATTTTTACCTATGGGATCTAACAAAGAAAAACTGTGCAAGTTCCCAATGTTGGTTAAGCACCATAATAACATGAACATTGCAAGTAATTTTAAATCTTATACAGCACATAATTGGAGTAATAAACTCTGGCAGTGTTAGTTCTGATGCTGCAAATAGTCTGCAGTGTACTGAAGCCTACTTTAATAGATGCTACAATATACATGTTCAAGAGGGCTAAAATATACAGAATTTTAGAAGTTAAAAAATGTAATTGAATCACTTTCACTCATGATAACTAATTGAGGACTTTCTCCATGTTAACATAGCCTAAACTTGAGACGTTCTGCAAACCCCTAACTGTTATCATGAGGCAATGCAAAGTTGTACCCTCATCTAACAAAGCCTATAGACCAATGAGAGCACCCACAGTATTTCAGTCATTTAAATAAAAAACCCTAACAGACAATTATGCTTTTTTTTTTGTCACCAACCACGAAAAGAAAGATGTAAAAATGCTTACTTTGTATAATAAGTTTAGACATTCCAAATATCCTTTCTCACCATCCAGCACTCCAGCAACAACCCACTTTCTCTTGTGCAGCTTTTCAGCTTTATCTCCAGCACCAGGATCCTAACAGATGACAAGTTAAATGTTACAATGGTACATTACCACTCGGTAGTGAGGTAATGCTTCCTTTCTTGATTTTACCCTGACATGTTGCTTGAGGGTCACAAATTACTATTGCTAAATAAAAAGTCCCTTTTTTATTCCATGGTCTTCATTATATTCAAATTCTTTTGTTTCAGTTTCATGAAAGGACTTGGTGGGGAACATGCATCCACTTAAAAGCAGCAAGACAGAGAACCAATTCCTTGACAAAAGGGGCTGCATTGGAGCTCAAAGCATCAAGAGAACTGCTGATGTCTCTTTAAGTAATTCCCACATGTTGGCTTTTGGATTATTTTCCTACAGATTTTAACCCAGCAGAGACCTTGGTTAATGAACAAAACCATTGAAAAATACAGGACTTCAAATGGTCATCAAGAATAATTTAAACTATACATACCACATGTTTTGCAGGACTTCCACCAGGAGAAGGGACAGGCGAAGATGAAAAATCAACACTATGATCTCCAATAACAACATGGGCCCCTCTTGCTTTGCGCAGTTTCTTGAGTTCTTCATTTTCTGAACCCTGGCTCCGAGGACGAACTACCTCACTAGCACTCCTCTTTGGCAAACGAGGGAGAGAGTCATAGTCCCCTAGTGACAATAACATAAAAATATACAACATTCATATTATTGACTATGATCAGATCCTATACAAACAAGGAGACTTTCCACTTGAACTCAGGCTTGTTCAGTTAAACCCCCCCCACCCCCCCCCAAAAAAAGGCACTTCCCCCCCCCCATCTCTCTCTCTCTCTCTCTCTCTCTCTCTCTCTCTCTCTCTCTCTCTCCACCTCCCCCTTAATTGCATTGTAGGACATCCCTAGAGGAGAGGGTAGTCTACATGCAGTTCAACTTCATCCTTGTTTGTTTCTTTACCACAACATTCATTTTATTATTACCATTACTATTACCATCATAATAATTATTATCTGGCTTATGGGAAATTCCATGTACCCAAGACTGTGTTTCAAGGTTAAGGGGAAGTGTAATGTTTTGAAAGTTTTCATAACTGCAACAGCTGTAGGCAAATGGAAGTTGAAAACTTTTCAATTTATCAAGAGTGACCATTAATAGAAATACATCTTTAGTTTATGCAATTTTTTTTGTTCAAGATGTTCTCAATTAAGTGACTTATCAACACTACTATGTGTGTCTTCAGTTTGCACAACTGGAAACAATTTTCATTGAAAAAATGCTCTTACCTTTCTCAAAATGGATCTATTCAGTAACTGACAGGTAAACCATGCTTAATGTTTTTTTATTAAAACATAATTTAGAAATTAGCATTTTTATCTTTCTTTAAAAGCATAAAATTTCAGGAGAGTGCAAATTTAAAATCCTACTCAGCTAAAAATGTTTTTATACATTTGTCAGTGACCAGTAAAGAATGGTAAAACTATTTTGCCGATAGTATAACAAATGTAGCTGTTTTAATTCAGTAACTGACAGGTAAACCATGCTTAATGTTTTTTTATTAAAACATAATTTAGAAATTAGCATTTTTATCTTTCTTTAAAAGCATAAAATTTCAGGAGAGTGCAAATTTAAAATCCTACTCAGCTAAAAATGTTTTTATACATTTGTCAGTGACCAGTAAAGAATGGTAAAACTATTTTGCCAATAGTATAACAAATGTAGCTGTTTTAATTCATAATTATTTCTACCATAGAAAGGTGTATCTCATACTTTTCAAGTAATTTTGTTGTGCAATTTCTTCACATTATGCAAATTCAGCCATGTTTTGATCCTTTACTCATATAAGAAGGTTATTGCTTTAACTTCAACTTGCAAATTGATTTAAAGATGCACAAACAGCTAATAATATGTTCATATAAATGAGGTATGAATAAGACTATTGACTCCCCAAAAAAATGAAAAACTAGTCAGGTTAAAGAACAAATTATTTAAATATTCAAAAGATTTCAGAGACAGTACTGACAGTACCTTTGTTATGATAATAACCACTAAAATGTGAAATTTATGTTTACCCAGACAGCTTTTACAACAAAATTGAAATTGAAAACATTATCAGTGCACTTTTGCGACCAATTTTTCTTTTATGATTGAAAAAAACAAAAATTATAATCTTGACTGTACTTTAACCAAAAAGCCTTAAAGATAGTGAAAACAGATTACATGATCTGCACTTTGCTTTTAAGGAGACACTCTTAAGGACCAACTTTATTTTGAAAGGGCTAAGGTTGGGAAAATGAATGAAATTTTTTATCAAAATGTTTACCACAAAGTGAATCTATATAATGAGCCAATTACCAGGAATTTTCAAGGTTTCAAATTAAAAGCAATAAATATCACAATTCTTCAGGGAGTAACAATATTTCTAGCAGAAAATTGAAAATTTTGAGTTGGCAACTAAACTGTGGTTTTACAAAAATTTGTATGACAGAAAGAAACACAACAGAAATCTCTAAATCCAAAGTTCAGAAAGAAAATATTACTTATTTTAAACAGATGTTTGCTTATGTGACCACAAGTTTCATAAAACTATCTAAATGTATTGAAATAATAAAATAATAGAAGACTATTTTCTTAGCATAATTTTTTTATCACAAATAACAAGAAAAATGGACTTTCACCTTTACACAAAACAAGATTTTTTTCTTTACAGTTTATGTCTTTTGAAAACCTCCCTGTTGAATTGAAAGTATCATACTTAAACACAAAATGTCACAGTTCATATTATCAAAATATAATAAACATGATTTAGTTTTTTGTTTCAGTATGATTCAAAAACAAGACCATCCTAAAGCAGTTGGGTAAGAGAGATCCTTCATTTTCTATATCTGTCAGCCTTCTATTTCCAAGAAAAAATGTTTCAGTTAATAAATATCCAATACAGTATTCCCAATGAAAGTCCTAGTCTTTAAAAAATTAAAAGAAAATTACAATGTGTTGTGGCAGATCTGACCATGGTATGCTTTTAAAGCAACACACACTGAGGTTAACTTTTGTTGCTTGTTGTTTAACTCTATTTCAGTTACTAAATCTTAGAAACCTTTTTTCATCTCTTTACAAAGTAAACATACTCTCCCTTCCATTGTTTAGTGACTCCTGACAACAGTTGATGCATTGCTCACTTAATGTGAGCCAGTTATTGTCCATTACAGAAAGTAAAGAAAAGCCGTATTTTGTCTTGTTCTAATTCAATGACTTTAAGCTCCTCTTGCCATTCAACATTACTGTTTGTGTATGCTACACAGTTTTAAATCATTGGAAAATTTTAAGTTCATATTGCTCACAAATTACAGATGTATGCCATAACTCTTTGTCACCTTGTAAGGTAGAACAAAAAATTTATCACTTCAAAAGCAGGAAGATAAATGAAAGCAATTTCAAACCTTCCGTATCTTGTTCCAGCCTACCTTAAGTCTACTCATACATTTGTTTTCAACTCTTTGTGAAAAAAAATTGCCTTTCACCTCAAAAAAAAATTTGTATTGTCATAGTTTTGCACCCTTAACTAATTTTTTTTTTAAATCCACTGTCTGTTATGTCCGTTATACCCTCATAAGTTCAAACAATCTATTGTATTGGCTTTTGCAAACAAAGCATTCCAAATTATTGTGAAGCTGTTGTTATCATTTGTTTGCTTGTTTGTTTGTTTTTTCTGATCTTAAATTAATTTTTACACAGATAATTTGGTGCTAATTTATGTAGAAGAGAAAATGAAGTAATGACAGAGCGTCCATAGGTTAGACTTCATGTTAAAAATATTGAATGACAGTTTGAAAATATATTATCAAAATAACAACCATGACATATTATCATAAAGGGAGGAGGAAGAAAAAAAATATAGACAGTTATAATTGCTTCTTCAATATCTTCAACACATACAATATAACAATATAAACAAACTTAGGATACAGACAAAAATTCTTTGAAAGATTAGCTTTAGTATACTAGAGTCTATGAAAAATCTAGCTGTAAAAGAAAAAAAGTTTATTTCAAATGAATGCTTACCTTTTCCTTTCAAAAGAAAATTAAAGATAATATCTTGCTTCTCAATCATTAGCATTTATGACAAGTGGTCCTTAAAATTATTTCCAAAATAACTTTCGTGCATTTCTAAAACTATTTTTGAAATATGTGCCTCTTAGTCAGCAGTATCCAATTTTAAGTTCCGATTATTTCTTCTCAAAGTAAGATCACAACATACCCTCATATCCCTTGTCATCTTTTCCAAAGACATCATCATCATCAGCACTGACTGGCCCTAGTTTCTTTGGTGAGCCTACAGTGCGGGACCGCCTCTCAGTCTTACTACGCCGTGGAGGTCTGATAGGTGGAGGTGAAGCCTCCACATTTGGCTGCTTGGATATTTCTTTTACATGGTGACTAGGGGAAGCCCTCTCAGTGGGTCCGACATCATTGGAATCATTTCCATTGTCTTCTTGTTCTGATGAATCAGCTGACTGCATTTCAGAGACAGCAACATCTATAGCCCATGGACTCATGCAAGAGTCAGCACTCATCAAACTAACGTTACCCGCAGAGAGAACAGAATCGAGTTGTCTTCGTGATCGTAGGGGTTTCCGTGGTCTTATTACCCCGCCAAATAGCATAAAGTCATCTCCCTCAGACGCATGGGGCGATTCCCCTTCGAGATCATCGCTACTCACGACCTCGATTCCTTCCAAGTAGGATATCAATTCATCAACAACTTCGATAATTACGTCGGGCGTTTCAGCTATCTTCTCTTTCTTACACCTGTCTTCCTCAGAGATTGAGTCTTTCTTGTCCAAAGCATTGTTCTCCGAGAATCCCTGTCTTGTAAAGTCAACATGACTTCCTCGATCGATAGGAGCCAAACAACTATCGCCTTCATCTGCCATATTAAACTGATTTGCCGCACAAATATCGTGTAACTTCACATCAACCTCATTAGAATCTGACAATATTTCACTTTCAAGATTTTCGGAAGTTTTACTTTCGGCATGATCTGAAAAGTCCACATCATCGCCACTTGTCGTGCTGCCGTGAGAATCATGTCGCCTATGTTTTGGGCCGGACGGACGCGTTAAATAACTCTTTCCTTTCGATTTAGCTTTGTTGATCCCCTTCGCTAGAGGTGAGAACACACTGGCAAGAGCTCGATTTCTATGACCAGTTGGTTTCTTTCGTTCAGGATAATTTAAACTTGGCGTTTCGTCCCCCATTTCTGATTCTTCGTCTTCTGAAGAACCCGTGGGGTCTCTCTGATCATTTCTCCTTGTTAACCCGACATCGTTTACACTTTCCTTTTCTGTATTGTTATTGGCGGAAAGTTTATTACCCTCTGCTATATTAATGCCATCGTGTGACGAGCTTTTCTCTTCATCGAATTCATTATTTTCGCTACTAAATAATTTACCAGTGTCGACCCCAGACGTCCCCTGTATGTTGTCGTTGAAACACGACTCCCCGTCACTTCCGTCCAAAGCGAGTTTTGGCTCGTCACGAGGAGGAAATATCACTTTAGCGTCTTTTCCAAAATCCTTGCACTCTTCATCAGGTGCAAAAGTATTGTTTAAATATTTCTCTTCGTCTTCAAGCGGGGACGACTTCTCAAAATCGTCCCGATCCGATTTTTTTACGTCTTCTATGGCAACGGAAGGTGAGGCAATGTCCTGCGGACACGACACAGGCTGATTCAGTTCGCATGGAAAGAACACGTTTAGCACTCTTTCGAGTTCTAAATCTCTTCCTTTAGAGATGTTAACGTTAAGAACCTCTCTGAGCCATTTTAGAATAAATCCTTCGCTTTTAAACACGCGAATAGCGTCCTCAAGTCTTTCATTGCACAAATTGAAACGCTCCAAAACATGTTCGTCAGATGCGAAATCTCCATCAAAATCACAAAATTGCAAAAAGTCTGTGTCAGGAAGCTTGCCTTTCGGATGAAAGTCCCTCCAAGCAGTTAAGAAGGCTTCTCTGTAGTCCATAATTTCCTCAATCTAGCTCTGCCCTCATAATTTCATCTTCTCAGTGGAGTGTCCAGTTGTAATTTGTTTCTCTCCGAGGTAACACGAGGTTAACCGAAGTTTGTCTCGATAATGCGTGACGTAATATTCGGCGTCTTCGGCAGCACGTCTTTTCGACTTTTCTGGCTAAAGGAGCGGAAGTGAGCAGGAAAGTGACAAAGAAACGGAATTCAAGTTACGTGACGCAAGCAAAACCTCATATTCCGACGAACAGAACTTAAACCAACCTTTGAGCTCAAACCAGGCTTTGAGTCAAACACAGAAAAATTATTCTTCCATCGAGAAAACTGGTTTAGGCTGAGGAAATCGTTGAAAGTTTAAAAGAAGCCATTCAAGTCACATTTACTTGTTGTAGACAAAAAATAAAATTTCCTCATCCCAATAATGATCAAGAGGGCAAGCCTTCGGCAAAATTCTTCCTTCTACACTTTCGGCTCGAAAGCATGAAATTCTTAACATTTCAACATAATGAAGTATAGCTAAAAAAACCGCGTTTTAATTCAGATTGTATTTTACTTTACATTTAGGCTGAATACTCCTCAAAAGCAAAGGAAAACTATTTAAAATCGTGTAAGAGCTAAGTAGTCAGGATAACCTTTGATCAACCCTTCCGCTGATTCAGCGAAATTGCTGTTCTCTAATGCTTAAACAGACTGAAAGGAAAATCAAATGGTTTTATATGTTAATTTACTTTCGTCAACGAAGGATCACGATCCTTTCCCAAAACTAAAATTTCTAAAAAAATTTTAGAAAATTTATCTTTTACAAAGCAAAAATTTTCTCTTAGAGTTCAAGTGCACTTGGCAGGAAACCAATCTAGTTTTTAAAAAGCTCTTTCTCTACTAAGGTAAACAAGTCACGATTTTTATTTTTAGAGACATGATTCGCCAACCTGATATGGCGTCACTTGACATGTGTCAAGTCGGTTTTGGAAAAGTGATAATTATTGATTGATCGCGAAAGAATCCGGTGTATTAGGTGGTCTGTAGTTCAAAAATAACTCTCTACTCATCAAGCTTCTCTTTAAATGATATTGATAACGAGCCCAGAAATGAATGGATGAGTAATGCTTTGTTTAGAAAGCTTTCACACTTCTTTTCTTTCCATTTTACTTAGTGTCCATTGAAATGATCAACCACACCACCTGACTGCTTTAAAAATAGTGACTGAGTAAAGGAGTCTGTCAAGAGTAAAAGGCAAAATAATTAACACTATTTACAGAGAATTCTAGACAGTTAAACGCAACAGAGATTTCATCGATACCTGTTGCCAATTATCACAGTTCACTGAGCTCCTTCCTTAGTGATGCCTTAGTTTTGTACGCAAAAAGGTTTCCATATATGTACGTTGGTTTATTTTAAAGGTATCTACTTTTAAGTCAGACATTATTACTGGTTTTTCTCAATAGACATGTACACAAACAGCGAATGTTTAATGTATTCTGTTTACGCAGCTTGACAGACTGAGATATTGCTCAGAGGAGGCGTTCTCTTGTCTCTTTAAAATAGTTTTTCGTAGCGTTGCTGCGATACATCATAAAATTCTCAATAGCTTTGAGGAGGCGTCGAATTTGAACATCAGTGAGGAAATGAAAATTCTAAAAGGTACCTTAGATCGATTAAAGTATCCAAGGGAAATGATAATAATTTCTGGTTTTTAGCCCATTATTTTGTAAACTCTTAAACATTATCGGAAAGTAAAGCAGAAACTAGGGGGGAAAGAGATTGTTGTTTGCAAAAGGTGAGCAGATACCGGGTCTTCCCATCGACATGGAGCTGTTGAAACCACTTTTACCAACAAGGAGTATTGTCAAGTTACCTTAGCTACCGTTTTATTTTAGTCTGCTGTGACTAAGAGGCATGGTGGCAAAGCAATACAAATGTCATAATGTAAAGTAAGGACTTGCTTAGGATGAGAGGCACTTTGGACTAACGATATGGTGCGATACGAAGCGATATCTCCGTTTTAGGCTTTGCACTTTCTTTCCAGGGTCAAAACTGACAACACGCACCATCAAAACGCAGTAACCCCACTGCTTTAGAACGTTACCGACAAGACGTCATGCTGAAGCACTCTTAAGGGGTGTAAACTACGACTTGCTGATGAGATGTTACGACAAGTGTTCATTTACTTTGCCTAAAGCGGTCAGAGGAAAATATGCATGGGCGTATTTCCTGTGACGTTACTGTTTACATTATGATTTGTCGCAAACGGGTTTGCCCTTAGAAGGTAAAGCAGTATACACAAATTTGTGTCTAAAGACAATTCATTTTCTCTTAGACAATGGTTCCAAGCGCGAACGTGATTACGCTCCGAGAGTGGCGGTCGCTCTCATGCTCCAAACTACCTCGCTAACCCCACTGAATTCAGACTTTGAAAGAACATGTTAACTTTAGAAATCTACGAACAATCCGACTCACGCCCATAAGTCACAGAGGGAAAAAAAAGCACTAAAACGGATGAAATAAAATCTTTATTGCCTACTTTCAGTTAATAATTCAAATTCATTGGCTTAAAATATTTACATGCAGATGACAGCATCTTGACACTGTTGACTTCTGTTAAGGAATTTAACAAGAAAAGAGACAGCAACTTCGTACCTGCATCCAAAGGGAAAAAAAGAAAACTTCGAAGTCCCCGTGACTAGGTATTTACAAATCAATGAACTGTCTTTGAGGATAACAACGTGGACAAGCTACAGCAAAATGATACCGCTTATCATTAACTTAAATACGCACGACTTTCAAGGCAGTAAATTGTTAATAACTATCCTTTCTTCATTAAAACTAACTTCCACTAATAAGAAACAGAGAGAGATTATTCAATGCCAAAAAAGTATGACAACTCAATTGTAACCTTGCTTTTTTTTTAAACTTTTTGTTTAAGGGGAAGATGATAACATAACTTGTTCTCAAAAAATATGACAAATCGGGCCTGGTAGTTCAAAATACTATGGTGCTGATCCAAGAATTTTAAATGAGCGATTTGTATTCTCTCCGTTTTTTTGTCTCACTCGCATGAATCGACTCAGAAGTTACCTTCACAGTTTCACCATACATTTATGGTGAGCACTTGTCATTGGGAATGTTAATCTAATAAGAATGGCGCTGCTCAAAGAACCTATTGAAAACTCTCAAGTCTACGAAATAATCGCAAGAATGCGTTTCAAAAATATTAAGTGCGCTAAATTCTTCTGTTTACCACAACTATTTGCAGATCATTTGCTAGGCTATGCTGTTGATTTTGAACGACAGTGATTTCCTTATCTAAAACTGCATGGTGAAATAGGCGATGGGAAATGTAAAACTGACAAAGTTGTCGACATCCAATACTGGATTAACTTTCGTCGTATTTTGAACTATCAGACCCGGTTGGGTGAGACATAGTTAAGTTTATTCCTACACTGTTCACTGATTGAACTTCTCTTTTGATTTGTCAGCCTTGACTGCTTTTAAATTCACAGGAAATATTTACCCTGCAAAAGCCCTGATGTAGACGACAAAAAAATTTCCGGACTTCATTGTAATTGTGAATAGACAAAACTTCATAATTTTGAAATATAATAATACATTTTCCTTTAATGATCAATTCATCAAATACTCCACATTTTAGTCAAATCATGAAGAACAGACACCTGTTGATACAGGGTTTTTTCTTTTTCGAACATTTATCTTAGATCTCTAATTTCTGAGAAAAAGGTCTTTGTTATGCCTCATCATGAGGGGAATTCGTACACCTTAAACACTCCGCGTCAAGTGTCAACCCAAGGCATGAGATTTTAAGATGACAGGGTCTCCAAAAGGCAACGAACACTTCTCAAATGATGCATCGAAAATTAAGACAAACAATGAACAATCAAAGCTAACAATAAAAGAAGAGAGAAAAACAGATATAAGCAAATATCGAACAAACCCTTTGGATATTATACAAAAATAGACAACATATATCTGGCGCAAGTCGTGAGAGCTCTTTCTTAAAAACGCAATTATCACTCTTACTAGTGACTTGCAGGAAATTATCTCTTGTAATCGTGAAAACTTCATGGAATAAGCTCCGAAATACGGTGACTTCTTGACAGGTCCAAAGTCCCTTCTCCATCTGCCATGCTTCAGTACAGCGACCCACGTTGACTTCATATTTGAGAAACGAAACGGTAGGAATGCACAGTCGAACCACAAAGACACAAGAACAGCAGAGGTAATAAAACAATCTGCCCGTTGCACCGTCCATGAGAAACGCTCACAAAAATGAATTTTTATAGACCGCGCTGTTCTCAATACAGAACTCCTCGCCGAATTTAACTCCACTTGAAGATAACGTGTCTTAAAGTCACAATAAGAACATTATGCGCTCTCCTTGACTTGTTACAAAACACAGAAGCATTTGCAAAGAGGCTAAGTTTCATCCCTGCCGCATACACGCGCGGATACCGCGCAAAGACATGAACTATGCGTGATTGTCTCGTGGACGAGACCCTGAGGAACCACGCTCAATATATTCCATTAAGACTTTGAATATAATAACATTTCCTTTTCATTTCCGCCACCGTGAAGCCGGTCTCTAGTGAGTATTAATTACGCAGTATACTTCATGTAATGAAAAGGACATATCGTCCTACACTGCAGCTGGTTACACCCGCAAGGGGCCAGCGCTGACCTGTAGCCTCTCGTCATTGGTCTGCTGTTGCACCACGGTGCCGTTGTTCTCTGTGCTTCTTGTGCTTGACGTGCTGGAGTTACTCACAGTACTAATACTGCTGGTACTCCTGTGTTTCAACGAGAGCGTGTTCGACCCACTACTACCCATACTAGAGTTAGTGTCAAAATCTTCCAGCTCCTTGACGTGCTTGAGTTCTAGCTCCTCCTGCTTTTGCGTTCTAAAGTCCTGCAGGCGAGTTGTCTCTTGAAACATCTTATAAAAAAAAAAATCTAGGTTAGAAGCAGCCCTTAGAAATCTATAATTTCAATTCCAGCCATCCAAGTAACCCAAAGATAACAAGACACACCACCCTTGAACAACTTCGTTACCAGACAGACTTAAATTGGTTTTAGAAAACGCATAACAAGGGTATCTGATTGCTTTTAAAAACTGACACGGCATTATTTATAGAGAAACTTTAGTTCATCAATCATGCACTGAGCATAACTACTCAGGTCCTTATCAGATCAACTGTATTTTCTCTCATTTTCATCAGAGTCGATAAAAATCGCGCGCAAGCCATTTTTGGAATCAGTGGCTTTAGTATATTATCACCTCACGCAGAACGATTATGGCAAGATATGACGTAACTCGATCAATCAGAGGGTGCGCATTTCCAGTATCATATAAGCAATTAAATTAACTCTTTTTCATAATTTGGGATCTATCTACGTTGACAAAATGTACTAAAGAAGGGATAGCCTTCGATCTCTGTCACAATAAACTTTCATTATGAGCTGGTATGGTAGATTCGTTGGATGAATAGATTCCATGAATACACAACGCATGAGCAGGCGAGATACCTTTTCTTCCAGAAGGGCCCTTCTAACCGAGACCTTTTCCTGTAGGTCCTTCTCTTCGCGCTCGTGCTGGGCCCTTAGTTGCATGGTCTGTTTACTCTGGTAGGCGCTCAGTAACTCCTGCTCCTGTTGCAGCTTGACCCGTAGATTTTCCTGTTCGCGCACTTGGTCTTCGTCTAGCTTCAACTGGGTAGCAAAAGGAATCAAAATATCAGTTACCAGGATATAAAGCGCTAAGATTCGAAGATTGAAAGGACACGAGAAACAAGTTATCCCTCAGCCGCATATTTTAGAGCAATTGTCAAGTGGGTGCCGATCGTTATCCAGGATTAAACTTTTTGCCTTAGTTCGCTCCAAAATCAATCTAGAAGACTCGCGTCATCCTTTCAACCGCTCTGATGTAGAACTAAACCAATCGAACTTCGTCGTTCGCTTATTTTTTCTTTGGTTACTACTTGATTCTTGGTGATGCCTTAGCTCGTTCTGATCGGCTATTGTAATTCTTTGTTTTTGCTTTAACAAAACTCGCTCGAAATGCGTTCTTTAGCGAGTTCATTTAAGCGTCAGGGTTTCGGCCAAATAGAAATGAGTAGCCCCCTCAAAATCATTGACCATTCGACTATTACAAACTTACCGTTTGTCTCTGCAACATCTCAGAAATGCTCTGATCGTACTGAAGGGAGAGATCTGCCATCTTTCTCATCTTCTCCTCGCGCAGTTGCTTGGTGAGTTCCTTGTGCTTTTCCCTTGGCGCTTTCTCCAATATTTGTTTCTGCAGAGCTTTATACTGTAGCGTCTGTGTCTTTATCGCGTTTCTGTATTGCTTCTTGATGTGCATTTCGCGCGCCTGGAAGTAAACAAATTCTTCGTTAGCGCACATACTTGAGCGGTCGGGGTGTTGATCACTGCACCTGAGCGGTCAGTATGTTGAACTGTTTGCGACACATCTTCGTGAAAGCACACGTAAGTTTCGGTTTATATTACCAAACATAGTTGCCACCAACATCAGCATTTAACATTCCCTACCTTCACTCGTATAAATATCCCTCACCGCATAAAATGTAACATGCAGTAGTAGCGTTCTGTCTCTTTTCTATGAATGACACGATGCAGTCCAGGCGAGCGCGGATTATTCGCCTCGAGGCACGCCTATTAATTTCTAGCTAGCTCTCAGCGCCTGTAGTTAAAATCCCTCTTACCTTGAGAGTTTTTGGCTGCATTTTGAGTTCAAACAAATGTCTCTTTCTAAGTTCCATCTCGACCCGTTTGTTGTATTCCACTTGACTGTTCCACTCTGTTTGGTGCTGGTTCTGCTGCTGATCTCGTCTCAGTCTGTGTACTGAGCTCAAGTGTCTGAACTCCATGTCCTGAGTACATTCATGATGTCTTATCAACATCATGTGCGACAATTCCTTCTGCTCATTCAGCTTGTTCATCTCCTATAATGTTATAGTCAATTTACCATCAGCACCTCATCACGAGACTGTTAACCCTTTAACTCCGAAGAGTGACCAGCATCTTATATCTCCTTAGAGTATCACCTCTGAATCGTACATTAAGATTACAGGAATAAAAGTTGTGTGACTACCAACTTTTTACTCGTCCGTGACGAGAAAAATCGTGTCTCAGATCGTACATGTAGATGATGAAAATTTCTGAATCAAATCAATAAATTATCGAAGAAATGAAGGACTGAAGATGTTCTTCTTCACAGACTTTTTTTTTTATGAATAGGAGTACAACACATACCCCTTACAAACAAACGAATCTTTTTTTTCTCTTTCCAATTTAAAATAACATTTCCTCCGCTGAGCCAAAACCTAGCTGAATTAAATTTTGCTCGAGTTGCTAGTAAAAAAATGTTCATCTGTATACTATTGCAGATTCCCAGTAGAGTTTTTAGACAAGTGGCTTTAATCTCCTGTCGCCATTCGGAGAAGATTCTATTCCCAGGTATAAAATGCCCTACAACGCAGAGCTCGTACCTCGGTAAGTAACACTTTTTCCAAGTTCTGTCGCTGCAGGAGTTGTTCGCGGCGGAACTTTCTTAGTTCAGCATTGCGCACAATTTCATGTTCGTGCACTTTTTCTCGCAGCGCTCTCTCTTGCCGGTCATGTAATGAATTCTTCTGGCCTTGATAAGACATACGGTTGCTCTGATCCTGCAATAGCAAGTTAAAACAAACGCTTTGATTAGTTAGACGAAAGAACACCAGTTTCTATTAATCAAAGAATTGATCATCCTAAAGTGTTGCTTCAGCAAAAGGATAACACACTCACTTTTTTAAACTGGTTCTTAGCCGCTTTGTACGCCGCCTTCTGATCGGAAAGAAACATTTTCATGTCGTTGTCGTGTTTATCTTTGATGTGTTTCAGTAACCTCCTCTCGTCTGCTGACATCTGTTTCAGCTTTTGTTCCATTTCAGTCTTGTGTCTGGTCCGTAGTTTTTCTAAGTCTCTTTCAAACTGGTGTACCTTATAAACAAGAACACACAAGTTCATGCCATACACTTTAAAAGAAAACAAAACAAAGCCTTGAACCGAACTTAATGAGCTGCTCAGTGATGGCTTGTGATTAACCTTTCAGTTTCAACGCTATTATCTCGATGTATTTAATTTCCTCGAGTGTCAGGTCGGAGAATGTTCTCGCCCATTAAGACAACATCTCCAAGTCGAGGAGTTTCGTAATTTTCGCTACCTGCACATTCACCCGCCCTCATCAAGATATGTACAGTATATAAACAGTACCTGCTGATCATATTCCTTATCAAGATTCCTGCGGTGATCATTCATTTCCATCTGTAGCCTGCTTTCCAGTACAAGTACTTCCCTCTGATGAGTCTGCCTGAGCTTCTTGTACACTTCCAGCTGATCCCTCATTTCATCACCCTGCCTGTTATGCTCCTGGTGCTGTCGGGCGATCAGGTTTTGCGGGCGAATGGTAGCAAACCTGTCATCGTCTTCACGATGTTGTTGCAACTGAAAAGAGAAGGAACAAAATGTCAATTTTAAGTGATCAAGACACTGAATATTCTGATTAATTATCTGGAATGGTGATTTGCAGTTAGTCGCCCTAAGCGAAGTGAATTAAATGTATACCACATCAAACGTAAATATCATAACAAAACTATATCAGGAAGGAGGAAAGTATCACATTAGTGAAACCGAATCATGTCCTCATGTGGCCTGACTTTCGGCTGGAAGGTAATGTGTCACAATCTATTTACCCCTATAAAACTGGTTTGTTAATGATGAAACAGTTTTGCTTGGATAACAAAGTTTGCAAAAAATATTTTTGAGGAAAAGCATTAATCATACTAAAGTTAATTTGCTACAAGAAAAAGTAACTAAAAGTAGTTGATGTGATATCTAACAAGATTTTATCAACTCAATAAGTGTACAAACTCCTCCCCTCTCCAAAACATAATACGAGAAACCACTAACACTGATAGACGAAGCAGCAAACGATGAAATTCCAGCCGCAGCTGTATCATTATCTTGCTCGGGTCCTTGTATACTGTCCGTGCTGCTAGCAACACTAGCTGTGCTGCTCACACTCGCTTTCTTGTTCTTATCCATCTCGGCGCTCTAAAAGGGAGGTAAAATTACACAAACAGGTGATTACTCTCCTATAAAAGTAATACATTGTTCACGAGAGAAAAGCTTCACAGAAGGTAAAGAGGAAAGAGAGGAGGTTTAATTTGGACAAAAAATATTCTTCAAGAGAGACTATTCAAGCCTTACTCTCACAATCGTACAATTACTGAAAACATATAAGAAGCTTGTCCGTTTAACCATCTAGCTTTCTAGTTTAACATTAACAGAATGCTTAAAGGTTTCAAGATTTGGAAAGTTTTATGGGTAAATGACAGTAAAAAAAGTTAAGTAACAGAATTATTTAAGTCAAACATGTTCAACTGAACAGAGCATGACCAGGAATTAGAATGTGAAGTGATAAGAGAACTGTCACTGATGAGTAATGTGCAACACAAAAGACACAAGTACAGGTAATGAAAATAAGAGTATTCTGGTTGTTAATGGTTGTTAACTCAACATAAACAGGTATAGCTTCAGATGCTTTGAGTGTGCAATGTGATCATTTTCTGAGGGACTTACGAAAACTGAGCAGTATCACATATGTAACGGGAAGCATTTGTGGTAACACGTCTGATGTAAGGAAGCAGATAAAGAATTCTTCCTGGATTGTTTAAGACAATAAGAGAGCCCTTTCTTGTGTCTAAAAGATTCATTTTCAAATGACTGACTATGATAAAAACCATGGTTAACTGGATGTTTGACCAGCACAAATTTTATAAAAGGATTCTTTTTCTCTTTGCTAAAACAATGAGACATGTAGTCACAATGACAACAATGATGATGAGATGAGAAGAATGCAATGACAGAATTAGACGAAGGTTTGGATGTGCATACAACAGATGTGCAGACAGAACCTGTGAAGATCTGAAGTGAAGAAATGACGATGACGAAGATAAGGAGTCTTCAGAGAAGGCCAAGCTGTCCTCAGATGCCGAAGGGCCATCCCCTTCCTCCAACACCCCATCAAAGTTTACATGGCATGCGGACGTGGGAACAATGAATAGAGACTAAGGTTTACATACATAGGAGAGACACACAGAGGACCTTTAGTAGGCTGAAGATTCTAATAAACAATCTCTGTTAACTGATAGGGGAGAAGATTCTCAATTCAACTGAGTACAGCACTCTACCAGTATCATTTTGCTCAATTCTGATCATACACCTGAAAACTACACCATCATCTTGCTACTTCATTTTACAATTACTCTTCCCTTTTCTCATGTTAAATTATCTCTTTTTATTTAAAAAAAGGAATTTAATTGAAAAGCACTAGTTCTAACTTTATCTTGCCGTTGCCTAGGCTCAAGAATCAACCTGCATCCCAGAGATTGGCCTATGTCTCTCCCCACTCATGAAAAGGCAGAAATCAAGCTCCACCACTCTCTATCTTTATAGTATTTCTTACAAACTGTTTTGAGTTGAGATTATGTCACAGAAATGTATAAAGATGCATAACACCCTTTATAAATCATTATGTATATCAACATCGCAGCTTATTGCAGATTTTTCGTCCATGGAGATGAGTGAAGAAGACAGGGAAGGGAAGGGCAGTGGATGTCTTGCAAATGCCAGCAAATGGCTTGACATGACCCTCCCAAACAATAAGCAGTGAAACACAGGTTTAACTATCAGTAAGGAATCAGATCTTCTCTATAGAAGTCTCTCTATCATATTTTAAGATAATTTGTTTCATTCTCACAAAACCACAACGGTGTTAACACTTGATTCTTTGTTCAGTCATTTTTCTTACCAAGCCATGGTGTGAGTTTGTATTGTCCATATTTGAAAAAAAAAAAAAAAAATGCTTACTCATGTGTCTTCTGTGTCCTCTGCCTTAATGCATTTTCGATGTATTTTTTTATCAATTCTCTGCACCCTTGATATTTATGAGGTAAAAGCTACACAAAGCGCTAATCAATGTAAGGGTTGGTTTTGTGCAATACTATTTCAAAAAATGCTTTCAGTGCAAAAACAGAAAAGAACCATATTTAAGCCCAAAAGTTCAATTCACATTTTGTTACACAAATAGTGTCCATCATTGAGAAATGCCTGATTACAAGTTGTGGTAAGCTTTCACTTTCCAAAGTAAATTCTCTACCAAGATCAACTACAGAAAGACATGGAAAGAAACGAACATGCAAATTTGACAGTAACTTACTGCTTCTGACTTGTCATCATCATCTTCTGTCTCTGCAATAGAACTGTCACCTTCTTCACTTAACTCTCCCGTAGGATCCCCCATAATCATCTTCTTCATTTTGCGGTAATTCATGTTGTCAAGGGCCCTTACAGCCTGTTTTGTTCGCTCAATCAGCTCAAGGAGGATGCCTGTGGGTCTTGGTTGGGATACAAATGGATGCTGGACAACAACAAAAAACACAATTTATCGTATCAGATATGTATTGAACATGACAAAAAACCCTACAAGTACCTTTTATTGACCTGATCCCACCGTAACATTTTCCTTGTCAAAATGCAGAATTCTTCAGGCATTTCTCATACTTCACATATTCCAAGCTCTTTAAAATGTACAGTTAAGAAACATATTTAATCACACTCCAGTAACTTACTTGTAGAAGATCTTCTGCTGTGGGTCTTTCAGCTGGTTGCTTCTTCAAGCATAGCTGAACAAACTCAACAAAGCTTGCACTCCTAAAATTAAAAGATGAAAAAATAAATAAATTAGACCTGAAATTTGAAATAACTACCTTGGAGGACACAATGTACATTTATTACTACATCTGCATAAGCTCAAAAAAAAAAAAAAACTGACAAATCCTTCACCCTACCCATCCATTGCTAGGGGAATTAAGCATTACATTCAAATAATGGCAACACCTATGTCTTCCACAGGTGCATTCACAAATACTTCAACAATTAGTGTTGTTCAACTTACCAGTTATCTGGAGTAGAAAGCATTGGTGGGTCATTCTGAGCAATGTGATAGAGAGCACTCATGGCATTCATGTTGAAAAGAGGTGGCTTTCTCTCAGCTAAAAAAAATTTAAAGGCACATTATGTATTATCTACATTACTGTTGTCTGAAATACGAAATGTACATGATATCAGCATTAACAAATATCACATCATTGGTGGATATAGCAGTGTGGCCATACAAAAATTTTATATCACTGCAATTCCATTACAGATGTGTTCCACTTATGTAAAGGTCGTCTGATTTACCAAGCAATACACTATAAACCTTGCCAACAAATCAAGAACATACCTAGTTCAACACATGTGATTCCTAATGACCACACATCCACCTAAGGGAGTAAACCCAGCATTAGCAAAAACAGTCGTGTGCATGCAGTTTGGAAACAACATTCCATTAAAAAAAAAGGGAAAATGTAAAGTATGCAATAAACTTTACACCAGATAACAATAATATTGACATGACCCTTCCTTTTGTAAAAACCAAAAAAGTTATCATAATCATTGCTAATGTTGGAAGCATACAGTGCACAATCTAGAAGACATGACAATTGATCTTCATGTAGGTTCCCAGTTTTTTATTGACAAAGTTTCCAGTTAATCTAAGGTTGAAAATCTCATAAGGAAATCACTTTAAATTTTGTTCAAACGAGTGGGGAAATACGTTTGACCTTCCATGAGTTATCAGTGAATTAATTTCCCAACCAATAAATTATATTTTTGTTTAGATAGCTCCAGAAATTCTCATAACTTTGCCAGCAAAGAAATGTGGGTACCTTTCCATCATACTGTCCTTCATCCATGGCTAAGATAACTTCAGGAGCCATCCTAGCAAAGAGTGAAACTATATCAATATGTGTCTTGTCCACATTATGTATGCTGACACATATTTATCTTTAAGGCTGGATTACAATTATAAGTCTTCAGAAAAAGGGAGCAGGAGCAGAGAGCAATATGGAAGATACAGATACAGGGAGCCATACAGGCACTTCTAGAGTGGGAAAAAAATCTCATGACAGGCCTTACATATGTTGTGGTTCAATTCTATCCTTGGTTCAAATTTTATTTTCTTTCCTTTTTGGGTATTGTAATGTATGATTATGAGTTTGAAACAAAGGAAAACAAAATTTGAACCAAGGATAAAATTGAACCACAACACATACAACAACTTCATGGAATCAATGAAAGGTTGAGAAGTTAGTAATACTATACACTGGAAAACAGAGGCCATATAACAAGCTGGCTTAAATTCCTTACCAATATGGTGTGCCCACAAAAGAATTTGCTGGAGCTGCTAGAGCTGCTGAACCAAAATCAGCTGAAGAAAAAAATGAAAATAGTTTACTTACTTATTATTTACATCAAATGTAAAGGACAAATGTTTACAGAGAAAGAAAATAAGGTACAACTCACCTAACTTGACTGTTCCATCTTCAGTCAAAAGAACATTTCCAGCTTTAATGTAAACATGCAAGAAAAAGAGTCAGTTCTGCCTAAATTATCTGAACCTGTTTCCTCAGCATCAAGTGATACAAACTAAGAAAATCAATCAGTTTTTAAAGTCTTAAAATCTAAAAAAAGAATTACTTCTCATTTACCTTTCACATCCCTATGAATTCTTCCATTTCTGTGCAGATATCTTAGACCCTAAAACAAACAAACCAAAACTTAATGATTTGTGAGAATCATCAACAGCTTAAAAGCTTTAACATGGAACATTAATGACCTAGATAAACAAAACAATGAACAAATATCTGGGCAATTTTAATGATACCACTCTGTTGATGTAACATGCTTACCTGCAAAGCATCTTGGCATATTGCAGCAATCTCTACTTCTCTAAGTGGTTTCTTGTGAACTGTATAAAAAAAAGAACATTCAAATTGAATTAGCTTATAACATTTCCAGCTACACTGAAATGAACAAAGAAATGTTCCCACTATGATATGTTTACATAGTATTATCCAAATTTGCAAGATTTTGTATGTTATGAACCAGAGTCAATCATAGAAAAAAACCATTCAACATACCTTCTAAAATATCTGAAGTTGAACCAACACAATACTCCATAACAAGCTAAAAGATGGGAAAAGGACATAATTAACATCTGAATAAATATATTTGTAGTACTTCTATTTACAAACACTTCTTTAGATTACTTTGCAATCAAAGACAAGAGGAAAGGTGTGAAAACTTTTCTGTTCAAGGCAAGATTCGCGGTATAAATACCTTGTGCGTTTTGCATATGTTTGAAGAATATTTCTTTCCATATTTAAAATAAATATTGCAATCACCTAGTTGTGGCCTCACCAAGACCTACATGTATGTTTAACAACCTACCCATGCTGTATGCTCCTTTAAATGACATCCCTTGTAGCTAATGGTGTTCTTGTGGCTACAGAGCTTTAGAAATTTAACTTCTTTCACAATGTCTTGCCATTTCTACAATATTCATAAGAGATAACAGCTGCATTAGAAATTTCACCTATAATGTAAAATTAAGGGTAGTATTCACAGTTTTGGAAAATTTCAAATATGCACAACTGCATGCATTTGAAAGTGTCATCTGAATGCCATGGGTCATTTTTTAAAATGTGTAAGATTAAACGAGTAAGGATTCCCATTCTTTACTGATATAATTGGGAGTAAGTCTTAGCATATGTGTAAATGATTATAAATCTGTGCTTATAATGAAGGTTTTGTCCCTCCCTCCCTGTAAAGAGAGTACTTACTTGCACATGTAGAGTACCACTCAAAAGAAAGTTGACAGTGTTGATTCAAAACTCAGTCCTCAAAGCCATCAAGAATTGAGGATTGTGGATTGATAATTGAGAATTGAGGCTTGAAGCTCATGTATTGAGTATCAAGAATTGAGTGTCTAGAAATAAGGAACTAAATCCTTGATACTGTATCTGTTTTTTCTTACCTCATTGGACTGTTTGCCACTATAGGACATCTTCTTGATTGCCACCACCTCATTAGTTTTAACATTTTTGGCCTAAGGACAACAAGTTTCAAATTTTAAATTCAATTAATTGATACCCTTCTCAACCAAGGGTAACTTGTTGACCTGCTTTTATTCAACTGCTTGTGAAATTTTGAAAAGCAATTTATTAAGACAAGACAGCCTTTCAGCATTTATAAAGTGTCTTGAAATGCAATTACCAAACCTTACAGTACAAGTTGAGGATAGCTTTTGTCTGTTACTTACATAGGGATCAAGGTTTAATTAAGACAAAAGTAACACTCTTCAGCTGAGTAGTTTTAAAATTCTCAACACCTGTTTTCTAGATAATGAACCAATATTGTGTAGAAGTTGTACATCAAAACAGAACCTTGAACTTTGGAAGACTTACATAGTAAACTGCTCCAAAGCTGCCATGTCCAATTTCTCTCAGATCAATGAAGAGTTTCTCTGGGTCTTGCTCATCAAACAAGCCCGAATATTCCGAATTCCTAAAGAATCCTCCCTTTCCATGCCCTGCCAAGGGCATAGCCGCATCAGGATCCCTCTGTCCACAGCGTAACAAAGAATTCTTGTCTAAAGCCTAAACAGAGAGATTAAGGTACAACAGTTATGTCATCTAATCATAAATATGATATCCCAATTTATACAGACTAATGTTCTTTAAGAAATTACAGACCTCAGCAAGGGACTCTGGAGAATTTACTATGGAGTTTGTGGTCTTCAATCCCCTAAGTCTTAAAGTGATGTCTCTTGTTTATGCCCAATTTATAGAAAAAGAATTCAGCCACTGGTCTGGAAACTGTATTGTTATGGATAGTCTCAAGCTTGAGCTGCATAACACATTTCTGAAAAAAGTCTATGCTTGTACAAAACTGTTAAACACAGGTTTTAAACCTAAGAGCACATTATGTTGCACATTATGTTGGATAGCAATTCAAACTACCCTTACAGCAAAATATAATTCTTTTTAAAAAGCAGCATCTTTTACAAAACTGTTTACAAGATACCTTTGCAGTTCTAAAGTCCCAAAAATTCTTAAGTAGCAAAGGCATTCTGCAAAACAATGTTTTGCCTTGTCAGGTTTTCTGAGAAAGTGTAAATTCCAATAAAATTTCAGTTTTCCCCTTATAAGTCTCTTTATGTTTAGATATGGTTTATACAGAGATTTCATGGGGTAAAACTTGTCAAGTACTTTAGAACACTTTCCATAATGAAGAAATTCCATTGACAAGTTTTCCTTGATATTTTCTCCTCATAAGTTAACTGTTATATAAAAAAAACTTGACGAAGAAAATCTGGCAGTGTAAATGTTTTTTGATCTAAAAAAGCACATTACTCTAGCTATTAACCCCTGGAAAGTTATTTCAGTTTGAGTTTAGTGAGTAACGAGAATATGTTTCTAAATCTGCAGTATTTGATATTGCTCATTGCTTATAGAGTCACTGGAGTACAAATATATAATACCAGTTTAAGAGCTGCTATGGGCATGTACATTGTGGACATGTATCCTGAGTCAGAGAAATTTTCCTTAGGCTATACAATGACCCTGTTTACTTGGAAACCATGTTCTCCTGAACAAGAACATGAAACATTTTAATCTACAATCAAACTATGAAATCTTCTTGTAAAGTTTAAATAGTAACTAGGGTTACCTAAGGGACTGCAAACAATTGACAAATTAAAAATTAAATATTTGTAATCCACCACTGAATTTTTAAAACCATGAACAGCAACAAAGGCATATAAAACCAAAGGTTACAAAACATTTCATTTCACAATTCATTTGATTAGAAACAGAAAATGATGATCTCAACATCCTTCACCTCAAGGAAAACCACAGAAGAACAGGAAAAAAAAATCCACGAATGAAGGTAAACTACCTGACAAACAGAACATACTTAAAAGGCACTATCAAGAAATAGTTTGAATCAAAATAAAACATTAAATATGTCTACCTTTCAAAAATAGAATAACATTTTCTATATTTTAAAGTTAGTCTCAAAGACTGAAACAGACCAAATCCAAATACTAAGAAGTGTAACTAAAGCAGTCAGGTTAATACGGAAAGCAAACTCAAATTTAACCACAATGGTAAACTCTCTGGGAGTCAAACTGTTGCTGTGGTCAAACACTATGTGATATCAAATTTCTGAACTCAACAAAAATTACTTAATAGCAAAGGGGCTCCTTGTCTTGTAAGAAATAATCATTGCCCCATAAGGTTAAAGCTGAACAGATTAAGAGCTTTTCATGAATCTACAACAACTGATTGAATATTTACTTGATTCTATTAAAAATGTACCCTTGATGTTGGGGAATAATTAAAATATAACACAGCCTACATTGCAAATATTAAGGTAGCTAGAAATTATATTGTCACAAACACAAGAATCACTGGCTAAAAATTCAATACTTAAGTGTTATAGTTTGACATGATCGTTTCAGAGGTAATGATATTCAAAACATCACGTTTCTTGGGACAGTCAGTTCTAAACAATAGTGACAAAACAAGGATTATGCAAGAAGAGATACATTACAATAAAGGATTCCGTGTTATTTCACATCCCAACTAGAATTTGATTGCAATCGTATTGCCCAACGAAACAACACACTTGGTAGCAACGTTCTATTAAAGGTGACATCATTTCAGTGTTTAACACGTACATGGAATGCAATGTGCTTAATTATCCTCGAAAACGATCTTTATGAATACCTAGCAGACAATAACAAAACCAAAACTGAAGCACGTACGAACTGCCCAAAGAAACTAAAACTTAGATTGTCGATCGAGAGGTACTTAGAATTGAAGAATAAGAAATAAGTTCCAAAATCATCAATGTGTATTAATGTTCCGATATTAATCGCAAGGGCGACCTGGTACAATCTAAGATAATGCATGGGTGCTAGATCACGATACAATATGTAGCGTTATGAAAACCATTTCACATACACTGGTTTCCTTATCGAGGTAATAAAGCAGAGAAATACTTACACACGGCATACAGAATAAAAGTTCCGAAAGGTTTGGGTGATAATCCTTTTGCCCTCTTTTACCGGAAATTAATCGATCTAAATCGGAGCAATTTTCGAATCGATCTCTCGTGTCGAGCCAAATCGTAGTGTCACAGTAAGGACGAGTTTACGAGGTCTTAATAACTGTCTCCGTTCCTGATAGTTATTTACGTCTGAGAGACGAAAGAGGAAAAACAATGACGACAAAGCATCTTCAAACAATGTCAGTGTCATTGCCTATAATGGCAACGGAGAATAAAACCACTTTGTGGTACACATTCCGGACGTAAAAAAATCGCATACACCTCACTATTTTACGATTCAACACTCACGAGCTGCCACGAGACTATCACAGGACACCGGTAATTTTCTCTCAATCTTTCCGTAAACGATGTATCAAGCGACAGTCTGTCTGGAGAATTCCCTAAATTGAACATGCAGAAACAAACCATTGAATAGTATCGTTCGTGGCGACGTAGAAAGAACCTCGGGGGTGCGCCCGAACATGGCCACTCATTTCCTTGCGAATACAAAAGAGAACTTAAACAAACGGCGCCCGCCGCCTGGATTTAAATTTTCTTCATCATAGATTAGGGCAAAATTCTCCTACAAAGCTACGTGAATACGATCAAGGCGAAAGAAAAAAACAATATGGTCCAGGATTATCGGGTCCAATCGCCTTGATCTTCACGTAAATGCATGCCTGTCCGATAGATTCGCTTTCTTTTGCAATTCTGTTCTCAACACCGAAAACATCGGAAGCCATGGCATCAGAATTTGTCGAGTTACAGCATTGTTACAAACTCGAAGAGATGAGCCACCAACCTTTTAAAAAATCTAAATCGAAGAAAGAGTCTTCAATATGAAGCTATTTCAGCGAGCTACTACATGCGATCGGACGTTACAGCACCATATTACGGCAGAAGCTATTGTCCGACGGATGTACAGCATGCGAAACGAAAATTGTTTGCGTTTCGCGCCAGGATATCACGACTATACCGCTCTGAAATAGAGAACAGTAATTGTAGATCTTAACTTTACCTCTTATTCTTGATATCCTTCGAAGAATCTTCATGAAACACAACAAAAACTCATGAAATGCTAATCACTCCCAAACATCTTCCCAACAACATGGCGAATTTTCTTGCTCTTACGCGTGCGCATGACGTATGTTGATCAACATTCCCGATACCACCCTTATTGATCCCAAATTTACATTATGGGGGTGTAGGGGGAGGACACGGTTGAAATAATAATAATAATAAAAACCGCTCAGTCTCCTTGATGCTGATTTTAAGTTAAGATTGAATTATCCTAGGAAACGAATATCTTAAAACTTAAAGAAAGTTGCAAATCTAGGAGATATTTATCGGTTATATAGAGGTAGATTAATATTAAGGGAAATCACTATTTAGTTATTCAAAATAAGAAAATTTTTAAATTTTTAGTCACAATTTATGTTGTCTTTTTCAGTATACCACGAAAAAGGTGCAGCTAAGTTATTGATTTGGAAACTCTTGATTTAACTTTGAGAGTACTGAAAGGCCTAAGCCACCATTCCTCGTGACCTCTACCCTTTGACATCTGTCTTGGAAGCATGCAGTAATGATAGCCAAGTACATTTTCATGCAGCATGCCTATGACGCTGGATCATTCTTGAATATTGTAAGAAATAACATGTTTATCACTTGTGGGAGTTACAATTGACTTATTAGAGCCACTGCTCAATACCATTCAAAAAAATTTGTTTAACGTGTACAGTTACATTTGTCTTTTGACACAATTTAACATATTTAATTAGCTAACTGATATGAATTTGATCTCTGCCATATTCTTATGTCTGTTTTTTTTTTTATCTTCCTTGAAAAAAAGGGGTGAGTTTGGGTTCATTCCCCTTTTTTAGTGGCTGTTTTTTTTTTTTTATCTTCCTTGGAAAAAGGGGGAAAGTGCAGGTTCATTCCACTTTTTAGCAGGTGGTTTTTGCAGGACATTTCTCCACAATGTAAAAAAGGAATATATGGTTTAATGATCCAATTATAGCAACAGACACTTTATTACAAAATTCTCCTAAAATCTTGGGTAATAAATACTTACTAAATTTATAGACCAACATGCATTTTTTGGCATTCATTCCCACATGAAAATGTACATGTACCAACATATGTTCTTCAAATACACCAGCCCTACTTTGCCATTTTCATCATTCTTTTTTTTCAAATAATTTCTTGAACAGGGTCTGACAAAAGGCAAACACTTGAACATCAGCCTTGAAACTCTATACAATGGTCAATTTATGTTTTCAACTCAGTTGATGACACTAAGTTACCCTGTTATACTCTCCCACCGACACAGCACCAGTTTCTTTAGTAACTTATACCCTTTATTCATATTTCTTGAACATATTGACAATTTCTTTCTGGAATTCTCTTGCTCTTCACCAGCTGAGGATAAATCTGTCTGCTACTCAGCAGCTTTTTCCTGACTAAAAGACATTCTTGTCAAGATTACTAATTAGTTGTTTTGCAAAAAGTTTTCTCTCACACAGTACAAGTCTGAAATAAATATACGACTGACTATAACATCAACGGGTTGTCAGCATTCGAAGCTGTTTCTTTTTCATTCGTTTTATCTTTGCTGTATTTTTAATCTGAAACACAAACCAGAACAAAGACCAAATGTAAGCCATTGCTCATTTTGGTAATGTAAACAACTTAAATGGAAAGTGATTCAAGTATGTGGCAGTTTTCTGTGTATCAAAGTAGTATGGTTTTTGCCTCAAAATTAGGGTAGATATGATGTGAGCTCACAGTCACCCACACTGCTACAGGTGACTTTGGTATTCGGAGCATGAAGCATTAAAGAGTATGGCTATTCTACCTACTCCCCTCTCTGGACCCTACTCCATTACAGAGAGTCCCCAGCATTTTGTCTGGTTTTATCATTTGTTTCATTCCCTTTGAAAACTGATTGAAGTTCTCAAAATATTCTGAAGCTTGTTGTCACCAACGACTACATCAGTGCAACTAGTGGCTAAATTTAATAATTTAAGATACCAGGATTAGAAAATGAAAAACAAATCTTCAATAAAGGATATTTTATGAAAGATTCGTCACACCTCTTGTACAACTTGAGATTTCTTTTCATTCTCCTCTTTTTGCTTTCTTCTTTCCTCAATTTTTTTACGTTTTTCCTGAAAATAATACAAAACCACCTTAATCAATCAAGGCAATCAGAAAACAGTGCATAATAAAAATTAAGTATTCAAAACAATACAAAAAAATAACAGTTGGTGGTAAAAAATGATTTTTCATTCAACTATCCTAAAGATCAAATTAGCATGATTAATAGAGAACAAAAGATTGATTATTCTTTTTTTCTGTAACTTTAAATATAAGCATGGTCTCTGCCACCTGCTAACCCTTTACCTCCCATGAGTGACCAAGACAGAATTTCTCCTTACAATATTAATACAATATCAACCAGAAAAGTGATGAGAATAAAGAAAAATTTCAATTTGGGGATATTAGTTGATCCAATACTAAATTCTCCGAACTAACATTATAAGAATTGTATGGTTGACAGTAAGGAGAATTACAAATTTGATCTGGGAGTTAAAGAGTTAAAACCTTCTGTAAAATCAGAATAAAAGCCTTCTAACCTCTTTCTGTCTCTTTGTTTCATCTCTGAGTTCCTTTTCATAAATCTTCATTAACTTCTTTTCCATTCTTTCTTTCTGTTTCTTGTCCCATGGTGTATGTAATGGCTGAACACCAATAACAGCTGACTTCCTGTGAACAGAAGCACAACATAATCAGTCACTACAGTGACTTAAATCAAACTGAACTCAAAGAATAGGCCTATGGTGTCCATTGGAAGTGTCTTTTTTGAGAAACTGCCCAAGCAAAAACAAGTAATTGATTCAGAGTATTTCAGTACAATTTTCTTGAAAATCATTCAGACATGATATCATGTAATATGTAAACTGGTGATAACTGTGCAAATTTCATTCCAACTTCCCAATTTTATTTCTGTCAATTGATTCTTAATTCTTACATTGTACATTTGTTATCATTAGATTTGGGTGTCTTCCATGGGCATAATACATGTTTATATTACAAAACCCAGTTTCACCTCAATGCATCACTTTCAAGGTACAGACAGGCAAATTTTAAAGGGAAGGTATTCCCAAAACACTGAAATCAAAAGAATACCCATATGAAAACAACAAGAAAGTAGCAAAAATAAGTGTAAACCAAGATGAAAATGAAGCTGGGGGATAAATTTTCAGCAACTGGGGTCATCATGCATAAGAGCTCTTGTTAAATGGTTCTAACCTTAGCTGCTGATCACAAGCATGTGGATAACATCATTGTCATTAACATTATTAGTACCATTTTGTTACCATTATTACTCTTATTACCATTGTATTACTATCATTATCATCATCATCATAATATTGTTACAGTACAATTTGCAATTTGGTCTTTTAAGATTGCTTAGCACAAATTACCAATCAATACATCAGCCTGATGTCTTCAAAGTCTGGGATACTTAAATTCTCATACAGGCTAGTGATAAACAATGCAGATGTACAGCTTGAAATTCAGTGTCCAAGACATAATAATACAGCATGATTGAGAATAGGTGTTCTCTACTCTTTAACCAGAGTAAAATTCTCCACTTGACCCCAGATTGCTCTCAGACCAATGGTGCTTGAATGAATTGTAAGCCCATTGACTCCTGAGTGTCAGAGAAGTGTCTTCACAAATCATATTTGTAATAAAACTGGGAAAATGAGCCATATTCTTTGTAATGTCTACATAGTCTATGTCAATGGTTTTTATAAAGTAGAAGTTTTACAGTTGAGAACTTTATTTCCAGCCACTTCAGAGATGGGTGGTTTACCAAAATTATTACAAAATAAAACTTGAAGATGAAAGTGCTCATGCCTAAATTACAATAAATGGCAACACTCACTTTGAGGCCAAGATTTTACAGTTAGGTGCAAATTTGACTTTCACAAGCAAGATTTCCAGACAGTCCCATTATTATGCATGCAGTTCTTGTATAAAAAAAAAAATGGCGAAACTATAGATTAACTTATTAGAGAGTGCGGCTATGTTTTAGAATAGTATGGGGTTATACAGAAATCACTCCTATTATGGAATATTACGACGTTATTAAAAATATTGTTCAGTCAATATTACAGCACGTCAGAGGATATCAGATAACAATCCTTATTTTTAGCCATCATCATCACTCTCTAAGACGTTCAGAGGCGATTTTATCTCCCGTAGCCTTGCGAATCAACAACTTGAAAAAAACCTTATCATAAAATCTGATGTGATAAAAAGAAAGTCCATTTCGTATCCGATTCAGCGTAAACGTAGTTTGTTCCAAACTATCGATGTTGTCAAGTAGAGAGTGAATTTTGATCTTTGCTATAAAGGTTTGGTCGCAATGTTGACCTTAAAAAGACATTTAACTCTAAAAGGAACTGACCTTTTCTTCTCGCTCTTCCAAACCCTTCCGGACTTTGGTTTTCCGCGTGGGATGCTTTTACGCTTTACCCCTTCCTCTGTTGTTTTGGATGCCGCCATGTTGTTCCATGTGCTTACTGACGCCCGCACGTGAGTCAGCAGATTCACCATTGGCTCCACGTCACTTCCTCATTCAACATGGCGGCCAAAACGTTCCAATTTGGACGGATTGTTCTCCAGCCTTCAGTGGTGTTTTTCCACTCCAAATTATCATTTGCTTTTGTGAACAGAAAGCCAGTCCTCCCTGGACATGTTCTTGTGTCTCCTATTCGCGTTGTAAAGAGATTTTGTGACTTAACAGAGGAAGAAGTCATGGACTTGTTCGTTAGCACGCAGAAAATTGCTCGTGTTATTGAGAAAGAGTATGGGGCGACCTCACTCTCGATAGCGATCCAAGATGGACCCGAAGCAGGACAAACAGTGGAACATGTCCATGTCCACTTGTTACCAAGGAAGAAAGGAGATTTTGAAAGCAATGACGATGTTTACAAAGCGCTCGATGAACATGACAAACAACAAATTGAGTCGAAGGGGGTGGAATTTAGGAATGAAGACGATATGTCAAAAGAGGCAGCAAGTTTAGCCTGTCTTTTTTCTACAGGTCTATAACTAAGTGTTGATTTAAATGATAAGAAATGAATGCCTTCACGATTAGGCCAGGAACTTGTGTAGTCCAGACCAAACTTTCTCTGGTCCAGCTGTTCTGCCTATACGCTTAGCGTGTTTTTGTCCTTAGCTACTACTGTTTCGAACTCAATCTATGATTTCTACGAGTGGATGGTTTACAGCTACTATTTGAGAAATGGAATTAAATGTGTTGGATTTGACCCTCGAGTATTTATTTTATAACGATAGGATTGTTGATCTGTTTCCTTTAACCCCTCGATTGCCTGTCAGTTCATACATTAAGTACGACCAGTGTATTGGCAAGTCAGTCGGTCAACCCATCGGCAAGCCAGCCAATAAGCTGGATTGGTAAGGTAGTCCTGTAAATGAAATATTGTTTTAACTTTTACAGTTTAAACTCCATTTGATTGCCCATGCCCAACTTTCAACAATAGTTTATAAAGTGAACAAAACTCTCCTCTTTTGAAAAAAGTCAGTTTGCCAGGGGTAAAGAGGAGTCACTGTCTGTGTGGGGAAAAGAAGCGTAACAATGTACACAAAGAGTCGTTGCTCATCGTAAGTAAGCTGTGAGAAGGGAGTGATGCAATGGGAAACTAACAAAAAGACAATTAAAGTGGTTATAAATGTTGTGTGAACCTGACTTGAAACTAGAAGCGGTGGAAAAAATGTTAATCTGTTAATCTTTTTTAACACGACCATAAGAGACGTCTTACAGCAAGGCAGCAGGTGAAAAGCAGCTAGCAACACATTGACATGAAGTAAAAAAACAACATCAAGAGACAAGAAACAAAAGGAAAACAAACTGTCCTGTGGCTGATGAAAAATACCAACAAGAATGCTAAGTGTATAGGATGACATTTATTGACAATCGCCGGTTAAGATAACTTTGCTTTAAAATTACGCTTCAATAGAAAGCACCATTTAAAAGGTAGAAACATTACACACTGAACAGAAGACTTATGAAACCCACTGAATAGAAGCCTTAGAAAGCAGCCAACTGGATCATCAAGATTTGAGCAGCTTTAGCTAGTACAACCACAAGTATCATGGATCAATCTTCAACACTCTGTTTGACTTAATTTCTATGTTGCAGTTCACCATCGATCAACAACTGAAGTCAAACCGATTGTCTATTGTCTTCTTCTTGAATCTTGAATCTTTATTAAGTCATAAGATAAATAATCACATATCCTATGTTACAACATTAAAAGAAGGTATATATATAAATTACAAAGAAAATCAAGATAAAAATTATAAGACTAGATTATGTTTAAAAATTAAGCGATTAACAAACGTGTTTTTGAACCTATCAGTGTTTATTTTAGGATGGTGACTTGTCTCTTTCCTCAGATTGTACTTGGTTAATTTCTTTTTTGGCATTATAGCTCTTAAAGGGTGTATTGTATTATTAAAAACATTCTTGAAGATACGCGTGTCCTGTTGAACTAACAATTCATAAACATTAATGTGATCGGATGTATACTTGCGCTTATAACATCGATCTAAGAAACATTGGATTGTTGTTAATTCGGAATTTACAGCGCCAAATACGGTCAACCCGTATAATATATTTGGTAGAACCAGATTTAGAAACAGATGGTCTATTTCGGCCTGATTGTACCCTTCTTTCCTTAAAGATCTTAAAATGAACAGGCACTTGTTTGCTTTAATTAGTTTTTCCCGAATATGTGTTATGAACCTACTGTCTTCCTGAAATGTTACCCCTAAAATAGTAAGCTCTTTTTGTCTGTGGTATTCCAGACACCATCGGAAACTCTATTGTACAACCTTTCTTGCGGAAAATGATTTCCTTGCACTTAGATGGATTGCTACACATACCATTACTTCTAGACCACTGGGAAAACTGATTAATCAGTGCGATAGAATTGTCATTATCACCTATCACAGGCGAGATAATGGTTGTATCATCTGCATATTTTACCAGCACGCTCTTATTGTCCAAGTGTATCTCTAAATCACTGAGAAAGACATTGAACAAGTGCGGCCCGCTGACACTTCCTTGGGTGGTACCTTTGTTGACACTTTTCCATTTTCCAATAAACCCATTTCTAATGACTCTCTGCTGCCTGTCTTCTGTCTTTCTTATTTACTGTTTAAATACAATTATCTATGATGCTAAACCAGTGTTACTTAAAATGATGGTAAGTAACTCTTCTAACTCCTCTGCTTGGTAACCTGCTGAGCCTCACTTTATCGGGCAACAGAGAAATTTTTGGGCACTAATTATCTCCAGGAATCGTGGTTTGCACAGCTGCCACTGTGCATGCTTCATTGTACCTTCCACACTTCCAACCGCTAGGTTCTTTAAGCTTCAGGCAGATGAAACAGAACTCTTTACCACAGCGACAGCGCATGTGCTTACAAGCTTTAACATGCTCAATCATCATGCCACAGAACACACAAGCCCGTAGAGAGGGGCACCCCACTACTCCAATGATAGTTTTCCTGGGACAATTCCGAAGCATCTTGAGACGTCTGTCCTCACATGAACAGTCTTCATTTCCTAAGATACAAGCAAATTATTTGAAAGTGTGGAAATTATAATACAGAAATTACGAAAAATGAAAATAAATGTTCCTCTACAAGTCACCACTGGTGAACCCCTGTATAATTTTTTTGCATGTGTGTGGTAAACACACATGCGAAAGGTGGATGCCCAGGGTATCCAGGGGCTCACAATTTTGCCAACCAGTCGTTAGATAGAATACCATTCTCATGGATGGAAAATCCCCACATCTCAGTCGTGAGCCCCCTTTCCAAACACCCATCAAAACTGATCAGATTAGACAAAGGAAAAAAATAGGGAGGGATGGAGTGGGAGAACACTTGAAAATAACTGTGACAAAATGTTGATAAACAACCGCCACCCCGCCACCAAACTGCTCGAGAACTCACAGAAGTTAACCGAAATGAATGCATTTTTGGCCAAAGACGCCCGTTAAGTGTGTGACTGGTCAATTTTGATAAATTGTCATTAAGTAAATCATGTTTTTAACAAAAACTACATACCACACACGGTCGTGCTTTGCTTATTTTTCCATTCGTGCAGACAATGCCAGCAAAACTCGAAAGCATTGCTTTTATTCATGCTGCAAATAGGGCAAACCACTCGTATCAGCTTTTTCTCACTTCGTTGCACCATAGAGTTGCATTTCGGACATTCTTGAATACCCATGCCCTTGATCAGATAGTTCCGGGAGATTTTTTTTTCAAACTCTTCAATTTCTTCTTCTGACAAAACAGCCAAGCGACGAACGTCTATGTAGTCCCACTCCTTGCGGCAATAAACAGGTGGCTGGTCTTGGCTGATGTAAGGACACAAAAATTGGGACCGGCCCGCGTCTAAGATACTACGGCAGTAGGCTGTCAGGGATTCTGGAGCTGGAATGAAATGTAAATGAAACAGTAATTTACCAACTGAACAAATTTTTCCTTAATATGCGCTGCTCTAAAGGAAGATAACTGAGCTTAGACATTTACCAAGTCAGCATGACGTCATTCATGCGAGCCATCATATTGTAGACTGAAGGCTGTGTTTTGATTTAATCCCTAACACCATGAGCATTAATCAATGTAGGTGAACGGAACAGAGGAAACGGATGATGGTAAGCATATGAAAAAGTAGTACATTATGTTACAGTATTGCTTTACTAAGTTGATGCTATTACCAACAATGCTACATTCTTAACAGATAATTTTAGTTTAAATTAAGGATGAGGATTGTACTGATAAATAGTAATGGAAGTTGAATGAATCAAACAGCCAAGGAACACCAAACTAAAGATTAGTAAGGAATAGGAGCAAATGATCTTATCTTACTTATAGCATGCCCGCAAGGCATCTTGGCTCTCTTGTTCTCAGGGTCATCGTCCCACGTAATCATATCCGGGTCATTACTCAGTTCCACTGCATCATCCAATTCTTTTTCTGGTGGAATTGATCGTTCAGACCCACCGAGCAGACGAAGAACCAAGAACACGTTGGACTCATTTTGCACTCCGTAATCTGACAAACGTTTACCTATCTCCAATTGTTTTGTAGTGTAAATTGCGCGCATTTGGTCCACTGGTATACCCTTCTTTTGGGAAATCATAGTGAAGAATTCCTTGACGGTTGCATCCTACGCAAAGGAAGGTCAAGAAGATGTAATTTTGAGGCTGTTTAACTGGTGTGAATGTAAACATTTGGGTTTTACATTAAACAGCCATCTTACCTTGTGAATATTTATGGTGGTAATGTCTCGTCTTATGCCGTAAACGAATATTTGGATTAATCCCGGCGCCATCGAGTATTGTATATTTGCAGGGAAATTATGAATCAAGATTTGCTGGGCTTGAACTATGGACCACTGTAAAATCCTTAGAAAGTGTGCTCACCTTCTGTTCCCTCTCAACTCAATAAGAACCCGATCAGAAACTACACAATCTTGCTAACACAGCAACTTTGGTGAAACTGAAAGTTTTCCAAAGTGGATAATAATAATATAGCTCATCCAAAGCAGTGATGTCACGCATGGGAAAATCCCCGAGTTGTAAGATTTTGATGGTGATGTTATTTCGTTTTTCTGTCGGATTTGAATCTTGAGAGAAACATAAACAACTTAGAACACCAATTTTGCCCTCTTCTCACATCCTTGAAACAATTTTTCGAGTTTCTTCACAGTCATCAAAGATGGTTGTGTAGATAGGGGAATTTGATAATTTGCATTCGTATTAAGCCGAGGTGTCTTTCGACCTCTATCTTACTCACTCTTTCCTTTTCGCCTTCGATCAATTCCTTTATTGTGTTCCAGCTAATCGTTAATTTTATTCTATTCTTTGAGAAAACAGTGATAGATTTTACGGCCCAGGTTTTGTATGAAATATCTGGTGGTTTAGTGGCGTGACGTCTGTTATGCATGAGATCATTTTCTAAAAATTCTGTTGCCAAAACAACCAAGGGGTTTACTTAACGGGGATTTTCCCTCTTGCAAACGCAAACACGAAGAGAAAAAGGAAATAGATCAATTTATTTATTGTGTTCTAGCAAATCGTTGTTTTGTTTCTACTCTTTGAGAAAACAGTGATAGATTTTGCGGCCCAGGTTTTGTATGAAATATCTATTGATTTTAGTGGCGTGACTTCTGTTATGCATGAGATCATATTCGAGAAAATTGTGCTGCCAAAACAACCACGAGGTTTACTAACGGGGATTTTCCCACTCGCACGCGTAAACATGAAGTGAAGAAGGAAATCACCAAAAAATTAACAACCTAAGTACAATACGTATTTCTTCCCAAACTGCAGGCATCGCGATACACATCATAAATCTAATCAAATTTTCACCTCGCTCTGAAGAAGCTTTCCGTTGTCTATCCAGATGAAAACTCAACCCTTAAGCTTTGAAGGGAAATTTCCCTTGCCTTTGTTCTCCTTAAGTTTTCAGTTTCCTTGGGAAAATCCCCTATACTGGGCTTTGTTATTATAATTCTGGAAACAAACTGAAACAGACACCAAATGCATAGGTAAGTCAGGACTTGTAAGTATACACAATGAGCTTGAAAAGAGATTTCATTTCAAGGTAAGTAAACATTCATTTCAAACTTGTGTATGCCCTAGTTCCGAAGTAAATACTCTTTTATTAGTCTGTGATTGCAGTGACTTTCAAAATTTCAAATAGCAAATAGTAACTTAAGATTTACCAAGAGCCGGACTTACTCTAATCAAAGACACCTACACGCTCCTTTGCGCTTGACATAGGAAAACCATGTTGCGTGAGGTTATAACCCAGTCGGTAGAGACGAAATCAGTTAATGTGCCGCCTTCTAATGTGACTAAGTGAGACCTTTAGAATGTGCAAAACCCCTCGAAGATATTTAAAACATTTAAATACATGTTCTTAATATAATAAAGAGTGACTAAGGATCGGGGAGGTAGGTAGAACCATGTTGCATCGCTAAGGAACTGCTTCCGGCTTCGCAGAAATCGTTGTGACATTAATTAAGCGAACACTTTCGATTCTCTTTAAGGCTTCCATCGCCCAATAGTTCCACTATCCCGTACGCATCGTATATCTATAAACAAGTCGATGGCCCAATAAACTGTGATGTTTTCCTTAAAAGGTGTATGCAACATCTATTTCTTAACATACTGAAAGAGCAAAGATGTGCAAGAAGGTCGTCTGATCGTTCTCCTGTAATAAATCATAGGCAAGGACCAATCAAAATGTTTGTTAAATTCAGAATATCAAGTGATATACAAATATTTCAGGGTACAGAAGGAGCTAAAACAACTGCAGTCCTTACAGCCTCATGGAATCCAAGTAACACTTCCATCTGACAGTCTCCAATTATGGGAGGCTTTAGTACCAGGACCTGAAGATTCACTCTACAGAGGTAAAGAGATTTCATTATTTGGGCTTTCCAATATTCTGTTTAAGAAAAGTTCTAATTATATATTTGTATCTGTCTTTCAGGAGGGCGATTCAAAGTTCAAGTTTATTTACCGTATCCTTTAGCTCACTTTTCTCTCTCTAAAATTTTATTTTAATGAGGTGTTCTGGCAAGTTTGGGGAAGAATTGCTACCACAAAGGACCTTTTTCTGACCCTCTCCCCTCAGCACCCCTCTCAGTGAATGTCATGCTTCAGAAGGAATTTCAATCTTCCTAATTTTCTGTGTTGCCTGACGTAGCAGTCACAAGAAAATCTGGAGTTCTTATTCTTTCAAACTTTCTTAGCACAATCTTTTGCAGAGCATTTTTGAGGGTTTCTATAATTAATGATTAAGAAATTGATTAAAAAATTTAAAAAATTAAGTTATCAAAAAAATAAAATCGGCTGAATCGTACTTACATATGTTTTGAAAAATTTGCAAAACTTTTAGATAAAAATAGTGAAAGATGGTGATCAATAAATTCACTTATGAGGTATTAGCACATACATCTAGATTTAGGAGTGTTTCTAATGGCTAATCACAACTTTTTTAGAAATGATTGAGCATTTTTTTAAACCAATGTCAAGGGGACGCACGAAAAAGAGAGGTGACAGCGATTTATCAAAGAGTCGGTGTGTAAAATTAACGAAGCCATTTTAAACTATGTTTGAGCGACTCGTTTATTTTTACACCTAATTGTTTATTTTTATTTTGTTTATTTCTTTCAATTGCTATTGCAAACTCTCTGAGGCTCTTGGAACCGTATTATTGAAAACTGTTATCATTATTATTATTATTATTACTATTATTGTTATCAATCTATTGATTTATTTATATTAATGCGACATTTCAGTTAATCCTTAACTAATTTCTTATCTCTCAAGTGAAAACTATCCTCTTGAACCACCAACGGTAATACTTTAAAATAAATGTTTTACATGCTTGAGTGCGAACGACTGATTGTCATGGCTGCAGAGATACCTGGTAGTTACCTGGTTATCTCATGATCTTGTTCTCTTCTTGAGTTTTGAAATTTTGAAATTAATTTCACTATCAGTTGGGAAGGTTCTCTAAATGAAACTGTATTATAACATAGCAAAAATGTCAGACACTTAGCTGGAAATCAAAAGCCCTAAAAAAAATTTAAAACTGAGTAATTCAAAAGTAACAAAAAATTGGTCTTGCTGCCAATGTGTTTTCATTTTGCAGCAGCTTTCATGGCATGTAAGCCGCTGCAAAATGATAACACATCTACTCATTTAAATATTGATTAAATTAGTTATTGCTTTGTTCTTAAGGGTTAGGTAGATTAGGAGCACATCTGATTATAGTACAAAAGTGAATTACCTGGTGATCAGTACTTAGCTGGTTACTTGTATTCTGATTTGGTAACATTTATGGTCTAAAAGAGAAGGTCTAGATACTTCAGAGGGGTGAAAGGAAATTGGCGAGAACAAAGTATATGTCTTTTTTATTTCTTAATGCCAGGTACGTTTCCTGCCTCCCATATATCACGTCAATGTGAGTCCATCAACTGGTCACGTGTGCCTGGGATTCTTGACTGGGGAAAACTGGTTACCAACCCGTTGTATTAGAGATGTATTAAGTGGTGTGTTCGCTCTACTTATCAAACCTGAGCCTGAGAATGCTGCTGACCAGACTCTGCTGAACATGTTCAATAACAACAAAATGCTTTATGAAGACAAGGCCAGAAAGAGCGCCAGAGATGGCTAGGATGATCAATTTTTTTTTTTTCATTTTCAAGTTCTAACTGTTCTCTGCTTCTAAAAGTTTCATAAACCCAATAATGTGTGGCAATTTAGCAACTTTGACTGAGGTCGGAAATTAATTAACTTTATCAGAAGTTAAATTCTTTTTTCTTTTCAAAATTTGTGCAAAGTGTTTTGCATTTTCCCATTTTCTTATTGGAAGACCAAGAAGGACCAGGAAGAAAGTTCAGTATTACTCAGATTAGGAAATTGAGCATTTTTTCACCTTTCTGAAGTCTATATGTCACCATTTCAGCTGTTCTTAATATTGTTCACATACAGTGGTGGTGTTGGTTGCAAAACTGATTTTAGAAATTTATATTATCACCTCCCCAATCCTTTATTTTGCCCTTAATAATATGCATGCAAAAGTTTCAGCATTCTTGTTGGTTGAGAACACGTCAACGTAGCCCAAACAATGCAGAAAGTTGAAAATGAGTGCAGAAATGGTGGACAGGTTAAGAATAGTAACAACATTTTAATCTAGAACAAAAACACGCAACAAAGCGCAAACAACTGGCTAAAAGTCGGAAAGTCTTGAGCTTCCAGAAACAGCTATGACATGGGTATTGAAACGTAGGAACCGGAGGCCCTGAACAAAATTCTCTCGTAAGTCTAAGCAAAAGTTCGTACGAAAGAGGGGGATTGAATAACGAGCGTGATAGCTTTCGTGTTATTAAGCAAATTCGAACTGAGACAGAGTGCAAACACTCAATTATTCGTGACAGAAGGCTTAAAAGCTTAGGGCAAATTTTGCGGAAAAAACCGGCAACAGCAGCAAGCCAAGAGGCCGCACCAGTGAACCATATACACCCTTAAGAGGAAAACCAGGTTAACTGTGTGCGTACGTTTTAGTAAACAAGTCGATAATGATATGAATTTTTCTCGTATAGTCTGCAATTATACAATTATTGAATTATCGACAATTTATCACCATTACACGGATAACAAAATTTTTGTTCAACAGCGCCAGGTGGTCAAGGGCAATCGGCGAATTCTTTTCTTGATCTTAAGCGAGTTACACGGTGGATAACGTTTCCCCTTCTGTGGTGAAGATCTTAAATAACTTGCCTAGCATGCTAACATTGCTAATTTGATGAATTCGTCTGTGACTATTGAAGTAGTTATCAAGAGAAACATTTCCCAAATCTCCATTGCATTCCACTGCTTTACCCTTTACACCTCAGTGGTAACTTTGCTTTGAGCACCTAGAGCACAATCGCTGAATCACTTCGAAACTACACAGCAAAATAGAAATGGTTCTACAGGCCGGAGGCAAATTGTTCCTCTTCGTGTAACTAAAAAGGAAAATTGGCCGGAATTGGGATCAATTGCTCGGAAACAGGGCAGCTCAGTACTTGCTCCAAAAGTAACTCGGAAAGAGAAGTAAAGTTTTAAACATAACCACATGAACCATTTCCGGATGAAAAGTTGAACTTCTCCATAGACTGAAAAGAACTTAATATGTGACCTACATCCACATCGGCCGAAAACTGGGCAACCTACTTCGTATGCTAACTTATATATTGACCTTAACGAAATTTCAACAAGTATTCGTTGATGAAGCCTGAAATTATCTAAGTTGGAAGTCTAAAAGTATCCCAAAAAAAGTTGACCCAGATTATGGAATTTTGACCTGGGATTTTTTCAGCTTGTTTGTTCCTGCGTGTGTTCATCAGCAGGTTAGGAGAATAACCTGACGGACCTTCTTGTTCAAAATTTTGAACGTTGTCAACAGTATATCCTGGCCACGTTTGTTGCTGACACTTATTTGCTTAGTTCTTTTTAAAATAAGGAATGATAAGTTCCATATAAAGCTTACCTCTTACTTTTGAGATGTAAGCTTCCTGAATTGAGATAAATTCACTGAGATCATCACTTGTTAACAAAATGTCTTCATAAGTAACCACAAAAGAGTGAAATGAATGCTTTAATCTGCTTCTTAGGTCTTTTTTTTGACACACTAACACGCACGTTGTATAGGATATTACACACTTGAAGTTTTTTAACCTTGCTCTGAATCAGTAACCAAGTTACGGAAATGTTTTGCTTGATATACACTGATATAGGCAACTCCTCCAACATGTAAAAGTAGTCCCTATAGCATTACGACTGTCAAAGCGAAACGCACTTCTAAATACGTTTTTCCCAACCTAACAAGTTAGACAAGAAACAATTACGAGTTATAGAGAAAAAAAAACTAGGTCAGTCCTCATCACTTTCACCTAAGGAGTGGGTGAAAGACCAGCAGCGACACACGCAGACATACAATTACCCTGGGCCGCATTACATGCCAGAATAGCAGCTGGGACTGCTGCGCCTCCTGTGGAAACACCTGTCGTACCACCAGCAGCAGTCACACAGGCTACCCAGACTGTGTTACATCCACTCTGGCAAATTCCATAGGCCAGAAGCTCCGACTGGGCAATTTGGATAAACATGGCCAACACGACAATGTACTTCACAACAGACGCCATTTTGCTGTTCTTGTGCTGAAAGTTAATTATCAATCACAGTGAGATGTTAAGAACATCATTTCAGCTGAACACCTTTTCCTGGTTGTTCGAATGGATAGATCGCTATCCGATAAATAATGTCGTGCGTTTTTCTAAAGTTAATTTACCCACCGTTTGCCACAACGGAATCGAATGAACAGCAAGAATGAATCACGTGATTTATGTGCTTTATGGACCTCTTTTCTCTTGCGTAGGATCAAAGCGAGCAGATTGGCCCATCTAATTTCGGTGCCGAAGTCTCAGATTTGTTCAAATTTCTAATGATGCTCTGATCTGCTCCCATAGCCCTAGGTCTCTATCAAAGGTAGCGAGAGTGGCCCAAGTGATTCGTACGGGGACCTTGTGTGAGTGGATAACTAAACCTGAATTTATACAATCATGAATTATGATTTCGAAATAGAATTCGACTGTTTCACTTTTCATGCTGCTTCTTCACGGTTTGAGGAATGGCTATTCGATCGCTTTGGATTTTTTAAGCATTGCAGTGTTGAGACTGAAACATGCAAACACTGCATTAACGAGTGGAAAGACATACCGCGTAGCTTAAATGGAAACAACTTCCTATACATTCTCTTATATTAAATCGAAACGATGTTTTCACAACTTGCGAAGGCATCTCAGTAAAAAATTGTCAGCGGATAGACAGGATAAATGACGGCAACTGAATCTACCCCACACTTGAATAACTGGCCGATGTAGATGAAGAGTTTAACGAGTTAAAATTACTTTCCTCGACAAATCCTTCATTTAAAGTGCCTTGACAAACGAACTTCGTGGAGGTGTTTGTACGATTTTTATCGAAGCTTAGACCTTTGAGCCGCAACTTAAACTTCTCGACAAAGACATTTCCCACCTGAACTCGGATTTGTTTTTTAAGGTTCCTCGCATCCTCGAACAGGCTTCGCCAAAGAAATATCAACAAATAGGCAAAAGAAAAGAGCGTATCCTTAATCTAAAGTGAACCTACGATGAGATTTCAAACCGTTATAGAAAACATCGTTAAAACTTCACACATAAAGGTTTGGGCGGCCCACTTCGCTTAGGGAAACCACTGACAAGCCCGTGAATTGACCGCTTTGCAAGTTGTGTGATCAATGTGACCATTGTTTCTCGGTTCCAGACCTTGTCGCTTCGCCCCCCAACTGGAACGCACCCCAAACAAGTTAAGGTGATTCCTGAGTATTGCCCAATGCATCCTGTTCTGCCTATATTTTTTATTGCATAAGTTGGTATTCAGATTATTCCCTTTTAATTGGAGAAATGAAAAAACAATCTTAGAAGGGAAAAAAAAGTAAAGCTAAAAGCTTGCCCAAAGCTAGTTACTCGATGACGCAAATTAAGACCCTGAAAGCAATGACTCGAGGAACGTTTTAAGTCGATGTCGTTTGAAATTACGTGATTTTTCCACAAATAATATTTCAAATTGTTCCATACGCTCGAGAATTTCTGCCCATTAAGATTTTTTCCAAATATTTTTTCAAAAACCCTTGCTTCCATGTACCTCAAAATGAACCTTGAACCGATGAAATGACGCGCGTGATTAGTGCTAGCACAGGCATAAATAGAGTAAGTTTAGCCCATCATATCTCTTAAACAAGCCCGGTGACCTATCTTTTTATTGCATTTTTCGAAAAAGAAAATCTGTGAAATTTGTACTTCCGATCGCTGTCCACACGGGTGGTCGAGCCAAAAATTATAGCGACTCAAGAAGTGAGAATTGAAGAACAGCCAATCTATGGGCGAAAACGATAAATCTTTGCGCCCTCATGGGCGAAAAAAACCTTTTTTCGGTTGGAATTTGAGGGGGCCACAATTAGCCAAGACGTGTTCGAACAACTTTCGGCCTAATCCTTAGGTACTGCTTCTGTTTTCGTGAAGCTCAGGCGTCAGCAATTACTCGAAACTTCTATTAACACCAGGAAGCCAATCCAAACGGTATCGAATTTAAAGCTTTAGATGCTGCAAAATACATCGCTATGACTTTATACCTTTCATCGTGACCACAACACCTGGGCTGGATGACGAACAAACAAGCTAATTACATCTTATCTATAGTACAATACATGTCTCGTCAACGCCCGACAGAGAAGAAATGCTCATGGTAGAAGATCTTTACTTACCTCCAAAGATAAGAAGAACAAATGACAACACAGGTCTTCTTCCTTTTGGTTTTCTTCAGAAAATTTCCCTGCACACAGCTTCTGCGTAGTCAAAATTTAAGTGGCGCTTCTAAGAACTCAGACGGATATTTGTTTTCTAGGAATGAATACAAATATTTAAATTAGTGCACCTGGGATTGAGGCATGAATAATTATCATGGTTGAGTAAACAATATATTTTAATAGACTTCCTAATTTTATTTCTGTTGATTGATTCTTAATTTTTATATCATAAATTTGTTATCATCAGATTTAAATGTCTTCAAAAGGCGTAAGGCATGTTTACATCACAATACCCAATTTCACCTCAATGTATCGCTTTCAATGTACAGACAAGCAAATGAAAACAACAAGAAAGTGGCAAAAATTGGTGAAAATCTAAATGGATATATAGTTTGGGGGTGAATTTTCATCAACTGGGGTCATCATGTATACGAGCAATTGCTAGGTGGTTCTACTCTTAGATGTTGATCACAGGCATGTGGATAACATCATTGGCTTCAACAATATTAGTATCATTATCATCATCATTATCACTCTTATCACCACTGCATTACTATCATTATCATCATCATTATCATAATATTGCTACAGTACAACTAACAATTTGGTCTTCTAAGATTGCTTTGCACAAATTACCAATCAAGGCATCAGCCTGATGTTTCTGACGTCTGTGATAATTAAATTTTCATATAGGCTAATGATAAACAATACAGATGTATGGCTTGAAATTCAGAGTCCAAGACATGGGAATAACACACGATTGAGAATAGGTGTTCTCTACCCCTGCAACCAGAGTAAAATTCTCCACTTGACCCCAGATTGCGCTCACACCAATGGTGCTTGAATGAATTGTAAGCCCATTGACCCATGAGTGTCAAATAAGTGTCTCTGAAATTATATTAATAATAAAACTGGGAAAATGAGCCATATTCTTTGTAATGTCCCCAGAGCCTATGTCAATGGTTTTTACAAAGCAGAAGTTTTACAATTGAGAACTTTACTTCCTGTCACTTTAGAGATAAGTGGTTTCACAAAATGAAACTTGAAAATAAAAGTGCTCATGCCTAAATTACAATAAATGGCATCACTCACTTTAAGGCCAAGATTTTACAATTAAGTGCAAATTTGACTTTCACAAGTAAGATTTCTGGACAGTCCCATACTCTATTATGCATGCAGTTCTTGGAAAAAGAAAAAAATGGCGAAACTATAGATTAGCTTATTAGAGAGTACGGCTTTGTTTTAGGATAGTATGGAGTTATACAGAAATCACTCCTATTTACACAATAATCCTTAGTCACCGACTGTGATCAAGTGAACACTATTTTCCTATCACATTCCTTTAACCACATAGATGGCTCATAATTGGAATATTACAACGTTATTAAAAATATTGTTCAGTCAATATTGCAGCAGGTCAAAGGATATCACATAAAAACCCTTATTTTTAGCCACCATCATCACTGTTAAAGACGTTCAGAGGGGATTTTATCTCCCGTAGTCTTGCGAATCAACAACTTAAAAAAGACCTCATCATAAAATCTGATGTGATAAAAAGAAAGTTCAGTTCGTATCCGATTCGGTGTATATGTCGTTTGTTCCAAACTATTGACGTTGTCAAGTAAAGAGTGAATTTTTATCTTTGCTATAAAGGTTGGTCGCAATGTTGACCTAAAAAAGACATTTAACCCTGAAAGGAACTTAATTTTTCTTCTTACTCTTCCAAACCCTTCCGGACTTTGATTTCCGCGAGGGATACTTTTACGCTTACCCCTTCCTCTGTTGTTTTGGATACCGACATGTTATTCCATGTGCCTACTGACGCCCGCACATGAGTCAGCGGCTACGCACTTCCTTATTCAACATGGCTGCCAAAACGTTCCAATATTTAGACGGATTGTTCTCCAGCCTTCATTGGTGTTATTCTGCTCCAAATTATCATTTGCTTTCGTGAATAGAAAGCCAGTCCTCCCTGGACATGTTCTTGTATCTCCTATTCGTTTTGTCAAGAGATTTTATGACTTAACAGAGGAAGAAGTCATGGACTTGTTCGCTAGCACACAAAAAATTGCTCGTGTTATCGAGAAAGAGTATGGGGTGACCTCACTCTCGATAGCAATCCAAGATGGACCCGAAGCAGGACAAACAGTGGAACATGTCCATGTCCACCTGTTACCAAGGAAAAAAGGAGATTTTGAAAGCAATGACGATGTTTACAGAGCGCTCGATGTTCATGACAAACAACAAAGCGAGTCCAATGAGGTGGAAAATAAATTTTTTAGGAGTGAGGAAGATATGTCCAAAGAAGCTGCTAGTTTAGCTTGTTTTTTCTAAACTTGTTTGATCAAGTGTTGATTTAAAAGATGAGAAACGACTATATAGTAAAATAGATTTTGGTTAGTCATTGTAGTAAATAACACTTTTAAGAGAGAAATGCAATAGTTTGACCCATGATGTGGTCACTTTGAATGAGGACAGCGAAGTTTCCGACTGGATACTGCGAGTTTTCTGAAAGTGATGAGTGGGCAAAAGGTTCCAGGAAGCAGAGGGTAACAAAAATGAAAACATCGCTATCCACAGAAAGGAAACATCGGGATCCACATCCTAATATAAGTGACCACATCATGAGACAAACGATTGTATTTCTCTTTCGAAAGAAACGACTACCTTGACGAAAAGGCTAGGAACATGTGTAGTGAAGATAATGTGCTAGCTTTTTGGTACCCATCAGTCAGGCTACCTTAACATGTTTTTTCCAAGCTACAGCTTGTACTCTACAATCTTAGCTTAGTGTCTTAGACTGAAAGAAACTCAGAAACTGATGTTTAAACAATGTTAATAAATATTTCAGTTTAAAGTCTTGAGTCAGCCTTGATTTCCAGCATGGGTGAAAATTGGAATCATTTTGTAAACTCCTTAGATTGTCATTTGGCAGTTCACACTTATCCTTCATCTCCCAATTTGTCACCCATGTCGGCTTGTTCGAGAGTTGATCAGTTAAACAGTTTTTCAAGATCATTTTACAGTGGGTGGCACTGTTGGTTGGTTGGAAGATTGGTCTTTCAGTCAGTCAATTCATCAAGATAGTGTAAGCTGCTCTCAAACATGAGTATGCACTAATCAGATTAGAGTACCTATTGAGAAAGTTGGTACTGTTATGACTGTAAGACAAAGGGAGTTCAAATGCACTTACATATTTGATTTGTGATTGGGCTAGACCAGTCCTATTACTCATATGCGCTCCTCGATTCGTCAATTCCCACAATCAGCCTCAGCCAGTTCAAATGTTATAGAGGAACTGTAAAATTAAACGGTAAGCTCCAGAGTAAAAGCATTGTTTCCAACTCATCTCACTCAATTAATTTATTTCAGGTTAAAAACTTAACAAACAATAAACTTTAAATCTAGAGCTGAACTGAATTCAACTAAAACTGAGTAAACAAATGTTCCAAATCTAGTCACAAGAGCAAATAATTCTTCTCAATTTAACACTTATCACACAGTACAAGTTAATTATTAGTTGTGATAGCGGTAAATTCTTTATGCATTCTGGTACTAAACGGTTTCATTCTGGTATTGCTACAAGTATTGCACACTCAAGGACAACAACCCAAAATTGTAAGTTCATCACTCTCTACAAAATTTGATTCTCTCATCTCTTACATGTGATTTAAGGACCATAGGCCTCAGGAAGACTGGAATTATGGACAGATGCTAATGCCGTTTTCTAGATTTGATGCTACAAGCGGTAAAAAGCGACTCAAAGTATTCTTAAATCTTAGTGGAATGCTATACTATAATGGTCATATTATGTTATCTAACACTGTTACAGCAGCAATGTTAGATAACATAATATGACCATTTATCGAGATACTTAAAGCAAATCTTCAGAGCTTTTCAGAGGTATTAGTGTTGATAATCTCGGACTAAATTTTCAGGTTCCCAGTAAAGGTAATTTATTTTGCAAATAGCAACAAGTTTAAACTCCAGGAATCATGGTCTGTACTGGTGCTACATCACAGGCCTGGTTGAAATTCCCACACTTCCAGCCCTTTTTCTCTTTGGGCTTCAAGCAGATGAAGCAGAATTCTTTGCCGCATCGACAGGTCATGTGCTTACAGGCCTTCACATGCTCAATTAGCATACCACATGAGATGCATGCACGAAGGGAGGGACATCCTGCTACTCCAACAATTTCCTTCTTAGAGCAGTTACGTAAAATCTTCAGACGTTTGTCTTCTCCAGCACAAACCGCATTTCCTGATAATTAAATGGTACAGAAATTACTGGTTTAAACAATACCAACATAGAGAAATTAGATGATTTTGAAACGAAAACTAACAAACAAAAATTACAGAGAATAGTAGAAAGGAAGAAGGAAAAACATCATGCAGTGGAAGAGTGGTAAGGTAGTGAAACAAAGTCAAGTAAGCTAGGTGTTGTTAAGGTGTCCAAGACTGAACCAATCACAATAAGCGTGGTGAGCCTTATGGCTTAGGACACTTTTCTTGCCAGCTAGCTAATTTGTTGAGGATTACTTGTTAACATTCATAAAACCTAAGATGTGACTCAAAATCCAAGATAACTTAAACACATTATTTCACGAACTATGAGTGAAAGAATAATGTCCTGACTTTCCCGATCTCTTATATTCCAGAGAGGCATACATGCTAGTGAACTAAGATTTGAAGTGTTTCTCTTTATTCCTTCCAACGGAAGAGAGTTTCACAACCTAAACTATGCCTACCACACTTTGTTGTGCTGGATCTATCGACCCACTCATGCAAACAGTGCCAACAGAACTGGAAAGCTTTATGTAGTTTCTTTTCACAAAAAGAACAAGTCAATCGCACATCTTTTTTGTTGATTCGTTCCACCAAAGACTTGCAGTTGGGACATTCTTGAACACCCATGGCCTTGATCAGATGATTCTTGGAGATCTTTGTTTCAAACTCCTTTTTTTCTAAATCTGTCAAAACAGCCAAGCGTCTAACAACTGCATAGTCCCATTCTTTGCCACAGTACACAGGGGTAGTATCTTGGCTGATGTATGGACACAGAAATCGCGATCGACCTGCATCAAGGAGGCTGCGACAGTAAATGGTCAGAGATACTGGAGCTTTGAAAAAAATAAAAATCAACAGCAAATGTTAATCATTCTTCCATCACAGACATATTTTCTAATATCATCTAGACTTGCTCCTATCCAAAAATAACTGCTACTAATGAGGAGACCTGGCTTCTGAAGATCAGATGAAGAATGCTGTTTTTCACTGAATTTTGAGTGGTAAAATTTTTCATTTTCCTCTTTATACCATGTTCTATGGCTTAAGGAAACACTTGGTTTTCTTTAAATTATTTTGGTTCAGTGTAATTATTAACAGTGAGTGATACATCAGTATGAGGATCTTTTCTAAAGTTTTTGTTGGCTGTAGAGAGATTTTATTTTGTTCCCCATAACTAAAAGGTGTCTCATCTCATGCAAGTTTTGTTTTTGTGTTGTCCCATGGTTGTTTTCTTCACAACCATTCTATTATTGTCTGAAAAGGTGAAGGCTTTTAGAAATTCATTAGCAAAATTTGAAAGGTTGTTCTCTGATAGCTTATTAAATCTGTCTTAACATAATTCTTGGCTTGAGATAATATGGTCAGGTGAGATATATTATAATCAGGATGTGAAGAAAAATTTTCATTTTCATCATAGTTTGGGGAAAACGGAAAAAAATCAAGAATACCAGAACAAGGATCAATTTTTCTAAGTTTCTTAGCAAATTCAATTTTTTCTATACGAGTTATTTCCTTTCGACCTTTGATGGGTCTAGAATCAACGGAATCAATCCAGGAATCATCATATGATGTTATTTTTTTTTTCTTTTTCATCAAAGAGCTTTTGGAAACTTTCATTTTAGACATAGGGACGGGTTTGTGAGTAGGTGTTGGCTTGGGGTTCCAATATGCAGACATAGAGATGACAGACTTCCTATGATTTGAAAGAAAATCATCAAGTTCAAACAAAGTTGCGCCTCTTAATGTCTGCATCCTTGATCAGTTCCACCCTTGCACCTACAGAATGCAGAATACATAGACCCAGTTAAGTCCAAAACAAACCAGAGCCTGTTAAGTTTATCACCTTCTTGAGTTTTTTCTTTCTGAGTTAGTATAACTCTAGCTACACACACACACAAAAAATACTGCCATCAAGGTCCTTTGTAACATTTACTCCAAGCTCTGAACATGGCCATTTATACATAGATTATACTCTTCAAATGAGCACCAGGAGGATAACATGCTTTTAACGTTGTCAGTTTTGCTCATAATTAGATGATTTAAAATGTCCATTAGTAAAGTCAGGATCAGTAGGAAGGTCCATAAAAGCAACTGCTTTAGCTAGCTGAATAAGATAAATGCTTTAATTTGTTTCACATATATTTGGTCAAAGTTGGGACTAGTAGACATAGCTGCAATGGCTTGTTTTGAAGGTGGTTGCTTAGTAGTGGTACATGCAGTTTTGTCTGTAGATGATTGGGAACTGATCACAAAAGAAAAAGATGGTTGTTGGAGAGCAGAAGGTTTAGTACATTTCAAAGGATTTAGCTGTTTCACGGATGAGGTTTGTTTGTCACTGGAAGCTTCTGGAGATTGAGTCGGCTTTTTCATAGTTGTTTTAGAGTATGAAGACAATGTAATTGTAAAGAAGCTAGATCTTGACCAGGTTGCTTGGATTCTGTAGCTTTGATTGAAGGTGATTTGAAGGAAGGATGAGTTTGTGATGTTTGTTTCTCAGCTTTGACATATGAATTAACACTGTTTTCTAAATCTATTGAAACAGAGGATGCTGTATTCTCTTGCAGAGGAGCACTAAAACAGCTACCTATAGGCAGAAGGAGATTTAAACGATTTGCTTGAGCATACTCATCATGATACATTAGAGTGATTGGGCACCTGCACTTCTTTTTTGTGATCGATGGAAACAAACCAGTGTTCATAATCGCTTAAAAGGTGTATCAGTTTTTCTGCGAAGATGAGAAGGTGCAAATGGGTCAATTGAGGAGCGATGTACAGCTGAAGATTTCCACAGTTTCAGCCCAAAATCCCGTTATTTTGCTGTTCTTGTCATGATCCTCCACAGAGTTTGAAGAGAAAAGTAGCGGCTCAAACACCTTCCGAATTCTCTCTACCAAACTAGAACTTAACGTGTGGATTTCTTCATGTTTCTCATCACTTATTTCATCATTTCAGAGAGCAATAGCTCGGTAAAAACAATTTCCATCTCCTCTAACAAAGACTTCTCTCCTTTGAGGAGGTAAATTTCCGGAAGCCATAATTTGTGTATTAAAGACGTCAGCTAGTATTAAAAATGGCTGTACACACATAAATTCACTGAAAATACTTTATGGGGTAATTTCCTTTGATTTATGCGTAACTTTGTGATGTTTCGAGACGAGATGTCGATATCACAATAAACCTTATGCAAGGAGAGAACTTTATCAGTAGATTTTAACACATATTTCATTGATATTTACACAAAAACTTACACTGCCCCCTCATCAACATTGCTTAAATCCTTTTCTGATAAAACGACTGCAAAAAAAAAACGCTGAATTCTCTCAAAAATCATTTTTTTGGACGCCTAAACAACCTTTTGCCACACATTCCTTTATGGAAATTTGCATAGTTTGCCCCGTGGCGATCCCAAAATCCTTTGGGAATGAAAGGGTTTATCCTCAAACAACTTACTAATAGCGTGCCCGCAAGGCATCTTGGCTCTTTTGTTATCCGGATCATCATCCCACGTGATCATATCTGGGGCATCACTAAGTTCCACATCATCATCTAGCTCTTTCTGAGACCCACCACGCAAACGTAAAACAAGATACAATGTGGAGTGTTTTTCTATTCCGTACGTTGACAGATGAGTCTGCTTATTGTTTTCATCTGTGATCCTGATTTCCTTTCCACCGAATATCAAGCGTTGTTCATCAACTGCTATACCATTCCGTTCTTTCAACAACCCATATAATCTCGCAATCGTTGCATCCTAAAAACATAATAAGATGCATTGTGACTGTATAAATTTTGCTACCTAACTTACTCAATATGCAAAATCCCAATACTGATATCACTCTAACTTAAATGAAAACAGAAAAAGAAATGATAATAACGATAACATTATCAATAAAAATTATGACAACAATAGTAATAACGGTAATGAAAATGGTAGTAATGATTTTTTCAATTCAAAACAACAACAAAAAAATAGATAAAAAAGGAAAAAGATAAAATGCCGCCTAAGAATAGTAAAAAACCAAGTGACTTATTCACAAATAAAAAAAGAACGGACTTGCATTGTCTCTTTATAATAAAATTAAATAAAAATTTATGTAAAACTAAACCATTTCAGTCGACACATTATCTAAAAAAAAATGCTGACTTCATTAACACTTATCACACATACGTGACAGAAGGAGAGCATTACATGCGTGACGTCAGCCATTCTGCCCGAGAGAAGAGCAATCTGGGAACAAGAATGACGTCCGGCAGTTTGAGCAAGGTTTCCACTCCAGTAAGCATAGAATGAACAAAATGGATAAAGTTCGTTGGCATTTCTAAATTCTTTTTTGTCGACTGACTACAAAAAAGGATATTAAGCTCAAAGGTGTACCTCTTCAATGTTAATGGTGATTGTCCCTCCTTGTAAACCGTTTACAAATACTTGTACGATCTTCGGTCCCATTCTTCTGTGGAGTAGTTTGAAGGGAAAATAATTTCTGCTGAAGTACACAAAATTTCCCACGGCAACCTAGGCCTAGCGAATGTAAAGTTGAATCAAGTCACAAGAAATCTTTGATCGTACCTTTCTTGGCTCACAAACAGCGGACTGAATCCAAAGCGATCTACTCCACCGACTCACCTCAGAATTCTGTGTCGACTAGATATGAAACTGAAACTAGTGACGTCATTTCAAGGGAAAGTCCCTGACTAATTTTTCAAATGTTTTCTCAGAAAAACATTCGAAATTCATAAGGTTAAACGCTGCTTTGGCTCGTGTTCACGACTAATTCATCTAAATTATTTTAAATGGTCGTTTAATAATTGCTTCTGCGCGCTTTTAGAAAAGTTACACGACGACTTGTCAGATTTTTAAGAAAATAACCACAACACTTCACCGGAAAACACCGGAACTCAACTACTTTAACAAAGGAAGGGTTGTTATCGCTCCTTTTATGGAAATGAAATCTGTGCTAAGCCATGACTGTGCAAGAATTTTTGGGGTCTCTAATCAGGGGGAGGAAACACCGCATGGAAAGTTGAATTTGAAGTTGTTGTTAGGGGTAAATGCCATCGAAGACAAATTATCCATTTTATGAATTGCTGTGATCAAGCTAAAACAGCTTTTAGTGAATTAAATGTGGAGTACTCCTTCCTGACGAAATACGCAAAAAGTCATACTATGTTAAGAAGGAATATGCCAGTGAGAGTACTGACCCCCCCCCCCCCCCCCCTCCGTGACTGTTAGCAAAGGGAATTTCCCTGAAAACAAAACAGACTTTGTCCTTTCAAACAATAAGAGGGAAATTTCCCTAGCAGCTCCATCGAACCATTAATATTCTACGGCGTTTTGTAGCGATAAGGCGAGACTTCCGCGCACTTACAATGAGCCTAAGAAGAGATTTTGTCTCAAGGTAAGAGGTTCACTACATCTAGTATTTAGTCATTTATTTAACGAGGTTGATTTGAAAATTTCAGATAAAATGGAATAACGTAAGGTGCTTCCATTGCTCCAACATGGAAATGTACGATTTACATATGCGAAGCAAACAAGATCTTTTTGTCTGTAACGCTGAATTAACGCACCACAGAATAACTAGAGTGCACTGAGTACTCTTGGCGAATCACTCTTTTACAATCCTCCTCAAATATGATTATTTACAGTAAGAGTCGCGTGACTTTCCAAAACATTCCGCTGAGTCGAGAGAAGGAAGAAAGCTTTCTGGTGGGGGGAGGGAAGGGTAGGTGTAAGTATCCTAAGAGGTTCTGTTTCTTCATGAAAGGTTTAGACTTCTCTTGGCCAGCGGCATTTACCAACCCGAAAAGCCTTAGCATGTGCGGTCTCCGCGAGGCAGAAAGAAAGCCAGTCACTAGTAGAATGTTGATAACTGTCTCCTTATTCGTTTGAATCAATGAACATTCCTATAAGTTTCTCTTGGCTTTCTTTCATTTTCTAAGTCTTAAAAGTCGAATTGAATACGCAGGCGATTAAATATTTATTTAATTCGTCTTAATAGTTAGCTCTCGTAGAATAAACTCAGCTGTTAAACATTTTAATACATCGTAATAAATTAATAAAAACTACTTTGGGGAGCTAAAATTATCATCTGTAAAATAGGGTGCAGAAGGAGCTAAAACAACTGCAGTCCACGAAGCCTCATGGAATCGAAGTGACACTTCCATCTGACAGTCTCCAGCTATGGGAGGCTGTTGTTCCGGGACCTAAAGACTCCTATTATGATGGTAACTGACCACCTAACTACAACTGACTTATCCTCGATTTAAAAATTTTCGTTTCATTTCTTATTACGAATTGATTTCAAGTTGAAATTTAAATTTAACTCAAAGTAATTATCCGGAAAGAAATGCTGTAGAGCATTACTTTTGCTTTCGTTTGCTTTACTGAGCTCTGTGAATGGTCGAAAGAAAGCCACCTTCTCAACCAATCAGAGGCAAAACTGATCGAAATCGAAACTTAGTAGCTCATGCATCTCAGGAATTTTTCTTTATCTCTATTTCTTTTGATTACTTGTGACATCTTATTTTGTCCTGACTTGCTGTTTTGATCATATTAACGTCACTCTATCGATAATTATCAGACATCGCCTACCAAACTCCTCCAGAAGCTCATAGACTAAGCTTATCTGACGAGCTGGGATAGAGCACTTGTCGATCTGGTGTCCTAAAACCAGTCGAAACCCGAGGGATAACGACAGTCAATCTGGGCCAAAGAACCTAGCCAAAAAGAACTCTGGCAGTGCAAAGTAAGGGCTGTAACTGGTCATAACGGGAGCGACCAAGGCGAGATTACTTTTAGTTTTCCATCTGATTGGCTGGGAAGCTGGCGCGAGGTTTCTAATTTGGACATTACTGGCGGAATTTAGATTTGGACACTGGAGGCTGATTTTGGATTTAATTAGACCAATCACAGATCGAAGTGAAGCAAAATCAACCCAATCTCATATTATTTTCAAAATATTATATCAGTCAGGTTAGACCCTTGTTCATTTGGTAAGTATGTTAGATTTTAGATTCTTCTCTTAAACCTTCTTAATATTAACAACATGTTTTTTGTCTTTAATTTTTCAGGAGGACTGTTTAAAGTTCAAGTTTATTTACCGTATCCTCACTAGCTTCTTTCTTAAATGCAACGTGTTGAGCAAAAAGAAAAAAACTGAATTAAGCGGACCTTGTATCTGACAAACACCATGCAGCCAAAAACTTGAGATTTTTCTCTCGCATTTAACATAAAATTTATTGAGATAGGTGAACGAGACCATAAGTTCTCTTGACGTTCAAAAAACGCCCCCAAAACCCGACGTCTCTTCAAGATAGGTAAAGTAGGGAAACCGACCATTTTCATTCTATTAACATATGACAAAGCCAGATGAGTCTACACGGCTTGTTGAAGTACAAACAAAACGCAATTCGCGAAATGCAGCCACTTTTCCTCCAACCATTCGGTAATGAAATCTTTCTTTGTCAATCTTCTGTAAGTACTGACAAGTCTATTTATCTATAAGACGGTTCTGAAAGTTGTTTAGGGTAGAAAACCAGACCCCAATAACTTAAAGCAATCAATCTGAGAAGGGATGAGATGTTAGTGTTTAATTCATCAACCACAATTTAGAAGACGTTTTTTCGTAGTTGTGTTTCAACGAATTCGCAACCGTGAATGTGGTTGAGTCAAATTCAATGGCTTAAGCCAAGACAAGGGGTCCCTATTTAGACTTTTCACCAACTTAGTATCCTTGACTAATGATTTGACCATTGCCCAGTGAAAATTATCCTCTTGGACCTCCGTCGGTAAGTAATTCTGAACATTCTTAAACGCTTTCTTTATCAGTATAAATGGTGTTAAATGAAGAAAAATTGTCTGGAATAGATAAATATTTTGTTGATATCTAAATTCAATTGTCGAAAATATGCCCTAACGGTTTATACAAAATTCGCTGGATTCAACTTGCTCCTTTCGTAGTTTTCATGTTTTTGTATAGGGAAAGTGTCAAGAACTCGAGGATATCAAATTTGACGTAATCATCGGAAAGCGGTTCTTTGTTGTTCTAAATACGTGACAGCCATTTTGTTTTCTAACCTCAGGTTCGTTTTCTGTCTCCGATATATCACGTGAATGTTAGCCCGTCAAGTGGTCACGTGTGCCTGGGATTTCTCACCGAAGAGAGCTGGTTACCAACCCGATGTGTTCAAGATGTTTTGAGTGGAGTATTCGCTCTTCTCATTCGTCCTGAGTTGGCGAACGCCGCTGATCACACACTGCTTGAGATGTACAATAAGAACAAAGTGGTATACGAACAAAATGCCAGGAAGAGTGCTTTGAACACCAAATGAATAAAAAAAAATGAAGTTTGTTACATTTGAAAATGTGACCAGTCAACTGCATTTGATATGTTTCCAAACGAATATTTATTAGGTTGTTTGAGCTGTGTTAAAACTATTCTTATAAGAGTTTGTAGGCCAAATGAAAATCACCATCAGCCAAGGAAACGTCCCCATATCCACTTGTGCGTAAAATAAAATGATATTAAAAAAGCTTTGTTAGAAGTAAATTCTCTAACACTCGTTGTTGGTTTGGTTGATTCTTCTTTAATTTCTTTTCTTCTCAAGTTCTTACAACGGTGACTAACTCCAATATAACAGGGAAAACTAAATCTCTGCTTATAATGGTGACACTGCGGATGACATTTCTAAGCCGTCAATCTTCTTGTGTCGTCATCGTACCGTCTCAACTAGCGAATCACGCTTGACTACGTATTTCAGTTCCCACATACTGAGTATGCACCTTAGGGTTGTTTACGCAGTTACAAAATCCATTTCTACCTTAATTTTCATACCTTTACGGTTGAGATCGGCCAGAACAGAAACAAGATCGACAATATAAAAATTACAAATAACCTTGGTTCAGAGTATTATTTATACCTGAAAGTGCATCTTAAGAGAAAATCACCTTTAAAGATTGTTACATAACAACATCTTGGTCACAAGAGTTAAAGAAGAAAGGCGCTCACAAGTGCCGCCCCCAAATTGCTTTTGGTTGCGAAACATGAGGGGTATCACCTGTTTACACTTAAATTACCTCTGGGAACACGAAGGCGTCGAACGCGACCTATTACCAGGAAGATTTACTCTTCCTAGACTAACAAATTAACTTATTTAAGAACATGGCTTATCACGAGTTCCATGTCAACCTCACGATCACAACGAAGAAAACGTGATTAAACTCACTAGTAGAACGTGGCCAAACACACAAGAAGAACGTGATCAAACTCAACCTTTAAGATAAGACCACCAAGAAGGAGTACGAAGTAATCAACCTGCCCTTTTTGTAATTTACATTAAACTAGACCCTGTGAGCAGGGTAACTGTGATACCTGGATGGTACTGGATCCTTGGAATCAAGTGTAGTGATACTACGGGTGTCGGACTAGTATACTGAAATAGTGCGCTCAAGTCTGGCCAAGGGCATACACCTATTTCAAAACATAGGCATGCTATGGGTGCAAGAGTTCCTTTTTTCTAGGGTGGGTGGATTACTTGAAACATTGTGAGTGATGTCTACATTCTTACAAAAGGAGAGAAGAATATTAATGTGGGAAAGAACGAAAATGTCGAATTACCTCACTCACAGGTATTTTGTGGTAGATTATGTGTGTTTTGCGAATAAATGTAACGAAAAATAAACTGTATTGGTGCCACGGATACCTGTTAGTACAAAATGCAGACAGCAGACTGCAGACCGGATACAAAATAAAGACTGCAGACTGCAGAGTGGGTACAAAATGCAAACTAAGAATCTGAAGAGTTTTTACGTCTGGTATACAATAATATGTCATCTTACAGCTTACCGAGCGTCACGCAATCGCTTTTCTGCAATCCGCCTTCACGATTATTTGCACTATTGTGGAATATTCCTGGCCCATTTCTTGATGAAAATCGATCGCAATATTATTTCAAGCCTTTAATATAGTCTTCTTACTTTGCGCGCGAGTTGGTTGGTGTGATGTCTGTACAGATTTTATCAACGTAATAAAAGTAGATGATGTGAACAGTGATGGTAAAGCAAGCTTAAAACGGCAGAAATCGCCAGAAAATACAACGGATACACAGGGTATGAGTAAGTTTTATTGATTTTACGAGAAAAATGTTCATATTTCGAAATATGTATCGTTGTAAATCGACCATACTTCGTTCCCTGTACTATTACTTATAACGTGCAGTTCCTCTCGTAACTTAACACCGAGTCACACAACGCGTGACGCGTTCATGAATTAATCGTTGGCTTTTTCTCGAGACGTGAGCTTGGGCCGCTTGTGACAAGACAATTGCGTAAACAATATTTAACATAAAAACATTATACACAAAAAAACACAGGGTTTTGGATCACGTATTTATTAAAAAAGAATATCCATACAACTACAATGAAAACAAACATAAGATTCACCTTTCTGATCGTGAAATTAATACCATTCGTAATGTTATCGTAGCTACGTTCCTTGCCATCAAGTGAATCCAATATGTCGTCTTTCTTCACAAGACAAGCGACTAAATACAGGAATGGCTCCGACCTGTGATTGGATGATAAAAATAGTAAAAGTAAATAAATTATAGTTTAACTCTTTGCTCGTGAGTATTGTTTACCGCGTGTCTCGAAGCGGAACAATGAAATATCAATGCTAGAGAAAACACGGATGTATCAAACAAGAAATGGTTACTTACGTAGCGAAGGGAAGGCAGCCTTTCTTGTTCAGCGAGGTCGTTCAGCGATATTCCGGCGATGAAGAAGTCATCTGCAGACTAAATTCACTTAGTCAGTTCAGACGGACGATCAGAGACTGGAGCCATTCCTGTATTTCACCGCTGACAGGAATAGCTCCGACTCAAACGTTTATTAATTTTTTTTTCAATAATTTTTTAATAATTTTTAAACAATTTAAAAAAAAAAAAATTTTAAAAATTTAAAACTAAACTAGTGAGCAGCGATGTGCGAACAGTACTTGTAAAACTTCTTTATTCTCTGTCGCGTTTCGTCTAACTGTCATAAACTTCAGGGAGTTTTATAAGTCAACACCAAAAGCCTATATTTATAAGCCATTGTTGGCGGCCAATGCGGGGACCAATGACCATAAGGGCTTGGCTGGACCTACGAGCAGGAATAGGCAAAGCTGTGAAAAATTTGAAAATTTCTTCTGAAAATTTTTAAGGCAAGGTGAGAAATATTTTTGGGAGCCACGGTTTTAGCTAAAAATTTTCAAATTTGAAAAATTGAAGCGGTTTTTTACAGACGATGCCTGGAAAGTAGGTGGAAAATTAGGTTAGGATGGCTCGTGTACTATACAGAAAATGTGGTTTATTTTCTATTCATTCTTTCTTAAATTTAAGTGGTATAAATTCCTTGTCTAAAACAGTAGTGTGATACAATAGCAAACGAGATATACTCGTTCCAATACAGCGTCATGTGATGAACAGCCTTCATTAATTTTAGAACAAGTTTTATAAAATCATTTTACTCTTTCTTGTTATGGCCGAAAACTGTTCGAAGATTGGTTGTACCATCACTGCAAACAGTCAAGGTACTTCGACATGATTCAGTGCGAGAGCTACTGCAACTGGCTTGACTAGTATGACGTTTTTTTGGTTTGGTTTTTTTTTTTTTTTTTTTTTAGGTCTAGGGGAGTTGTTAGAAATTACCAAGCAAAATCAATCCGCGACTTTCTTCCTTTAGGTGCAAAAAAAAAAAAAGATGAAGAGCCCGATGAATGGATTTGTCCTTCATGTGAACAATAACCTAGAATATCAGTTTATTTCTCCAGCAAAGCATGCTGTAAATTTAAAAACATTGGTCGCAGCGTCACGCAACATTGCGTGATTTTCCAAACGTGACATGCAGTTGCTGCATTATTTTAAAACTTAGAAACTACATGGCCCTGTAGTAATAAAAAAGAAGGCTTCATTCGCAAGCACTGTAGACTACAACCTAATAAATCGCTCTTTCAGTTTTTATCTCAGTGTATAAATTATTTAGCCAGAACGAAAAAAAAATTAATATACGCATGAGTTGGAGCCATTCCTGTCTACGGTGAAATACACGAATGGCTCCAGTCTCTGGTCGTCCGCCTAAACTGACTAAATGAGTTTTGTCAGCGGGGCTTGTCAGCGGATGACTTTTTCATCGCCGGAATATCACTGAACGACCTCGCTGAACAAGATAGACTCTGCCTTCTCTTCGTTATGTAAGTAGCCATTTCTTGTTTGACTCATCCGTGTTTTTACATTGGTATCTCATTGTTCCGGTTCGAGACACGCGGTTAACAATACTCACGAGCAACGAGTTAAGATATAACCTCTTAACTTTTACTATTTTTATCATCCAATCACAGGTCGGAGCCATTCCTGTATTTAGTCGCTAGTTTCACAAGCAGTTTGCATCCCATATAGTTATGTTCTTCAGTCTCACGGTAGTAGCGTTGTTCAATAGGTTGCATAGAGTAAACGCAGTTTGGTTTCAGATTTCAGATTTTGCTTTTTACAACAAGTGAACGTTTTTCAACTAAGACATTGGCATACTTAGCATACAAGGCATTCAAGGCTTTCATGGCTTTCAAGCGTTCGCGACTCAATCCGTTCCAAAATTACCGCTCATTAACATCTTCCAGTGTGGATTAGCCGCGATTAATACGACTTGTATGTGCGTCTGTAAGTATTTTGCGCGTTTGCGCTATAATGCTCCAGGAGATCGCAATCCAAATACGTTGAAATACAAAACAACTGACCAAAGAGTTTTATAAGCAAAATCTCGTGTTCGTCATGTGACCCGGCCCTGTCTGTGCATGACAACGTCAATCATCATCAAGATAACACGCGTGATCAGCATGTGAACACCTCATTGGATCACAGTTAGTTGTCATGGTGTTGAGGGATAACACGCGTGATCAGTATGTGAACACCTCATTGGATCACAGTTAGTTGTCATGGTGTTGAGGGCCCAATGACCTCTGGGTACTATTGTGCAATTTTTCCATTTTGTGGCGGAGGAAAAAAAAAAAAAAAAAAAAAAAAAGAGGACAAAAAAACAAAGGCATTTTATGACTGGGCTACCACAGGTATCCCAGTAATGACTTAAAATAATGCAATATTTCCATTCCTTTTCTTTCCAACACCAATACAGGAAACCCTTACGATATTGTAGATTAACTATAATTGTAATTTTATCATTTAACAGCTTCCAGTTGTTTAATTAGCAAGTTACACTGAAATATCAAAGCGACATACAATACTTGTCTAACCTTGGTTTACATCATCATCATCAATTTCGTACATGTGTTACTTTAAATTG